CTGCAGTTGGATAGGTTTCGAGCTCTGGTTCTGTACTCGGATAGCCATCGTAGCCCTACTGTACAAACACTTCAGCACTTCGATATACCGACAGTCAACTTGGCACCGCTGAAGGGACTGCAGCACCGCCCAAATTTCGACGGAATCAAAGGCTTTCTCATAGTCCACATACGCCAGGCAAAGTGGCAAATTGTACTCTTCAGTCTTCTGTACAATCTGCCGCAGGGTATGTATGTGGTCTATGGTACTGAAGCCTTTTCGGAAACCGGCTTGTTCGGGAGGCTGGAAGTCGTCGAGTCTGCGTGCGAGACGATTCGTAATGACTCTCGAAAACAGCACGTAGACGCGGCTCAGAAGGGAAATCGGTCTGTAGTTCTTCAAGAGAGCGTTGTCGCCTTTCTTAAAGAACAAGACCACCGCACTTCTACTCCACGCCTCTGGAGTAGTGCCACCATGGAGGACGGAATTGAAGAGCTTCTGAAGGACTTCAAGTACCGGTGTTCCACCCGCTTTCAGAAGCTCCGCTGTAATTCCATCCTCGCCTGGGGCCCTGCCGTTTTTAAGGTGCTGGAGAGCCATTCTAATCTCGCTTAGACTGACGTCCGGGATATCATCGGAATAGTGTCGGATAAGACTTGCTCTTGGATCGTTACTCACACTTGCGTGTGGCTCCAACGATGATGTGTACAGCTGCCCATAGAATCTCTCAATCTCACTCAAAATCTCAGGTGTCCCGGAAACGATGCTGCCACACTCAGTCTTCAGCCTTGACAGTTGGCTCTTACGGGCAGACAGATCTCTGGCAAAGACTTTGGAGCCCTGGTTCCGCTCGATCGCTTCTTTAATACGAGCAGTATTAAAGTTGCGTAAGTCTCGCCGCATGCATTTGGAGATCTGTCTGTTCAGTTGCCTGTATGCTGTCAAATCTGTTGACGATTGCAGCCTCATCTCCCGTCTAACAGCCATGAGATTAAGAGTGTGATCGGAGAGTTTTTGTGTTCTTCTGCGGCGGGTCTTGCAGAACTTAGCTCCAACCGCATGGACAGTTTCCACGAGCTTGTCATTCATATCGTCCACTGCATTGCAATCTTGTAGGCACTGAAAGCGGTTGTGTAACTCTAGCTGAAAGTTTTCGGGATTTTGGATTAGAGCACGAGGGGGACGAAGCGTTGACTTCATTAGACGAGACCTCTCCAACTTAACGTTTAGGTTCAATGTGCCTCTAACCATTCGGTGATCGCTGCCAGTTTTCACCCTTGCGATCACTGAGACATCACTGAACAGTTGGCGTCTGGTCGTCATAATGAAGTCAATCTCATTTTTTGTCGAACCGTCGGGGCTTGACCAGGTCCACTTCCTGTGGGGCCGCTTCTGGAAGAAAGAGTTCATCATAAAGAGTCCCTCTTTCTCCATAAAGTCGGCCAGCTGCTGGCCCCTTCGGTTCCGTTGCCCTACTCCAAATTTCCCTAACTTCAGCTCACCGTTTTCTCTTGCGCCTAGTTTTGCGTTGAAGTCTCCCATCAACACCGTGTAGTGGGTTTTGGAGGAATGCATGGCTTCGGAAATATCCTCATACATTTCCTCCACCTCCTCATCGGAATGTGCCGAGGTTGGTGCGTAAACCTGTATGACCTTCAGCGAATACCGTTTGGTGATTCTGAGTATCAGGTACGCGACCCTCGTCGACACACTCCCAATCTTTACAACGTTGTTGACGAGAGACTTGTGGACGATAAATCCGACACCTCCTTGGGACAGATGGTCGCCCTCCCGGTGATAGAACAAGTTGCCGGATTCGAGAATCACCGTGTCCTCCCCCTCTCTTCGGACCTCGGATAATCCTATAATACTCCAGCGCAACTTGTCTATCTCTTCTTCCAGCTCCAGGATCTTCTCGTCAGTCCTCAGGGTGCGTGCGTTAAATGTTACCAGGTCGAGTCGTCGTAGGTGGCAACCAAACCTCCACCGGAGATTCTTAGCACCCCCTGCCCCGCCGTTACCATGGTCGCCACCGTAGCCAGGAATAGCGGGGCCGCCGGGGACTGGGGGCCGTCTATTTGTGTAATTGTTCATGGGGGTTATATTGCCATAGTTGCCACGCTTGGCGAGCGGGTTGGCAACCGCAGTTTTTTTTGTCGTACAGTTGCTGTTATCAGGAAGATGCTGCTGCCCATCTCCTGCCTGTTTCCTTCTGTCGCCTTTTACGACACCCACGGGAAGATATGGGGTAGTGGATATTCTTAACCGCCACTACACGGCATATTTATGTAAGTACATAAGAATTAAGAGCCGTGGTAGCTCAGATGGTTATCGCTCGCTTTAAATTTCACAGTACGCGAGCAAACCAGGTTCGATTCCCGCCGGCACCAATGAAATTGTTAATTGCAATTTTAAGTGCGGATTTACCACGTGCTCGGCGGTGAATGAAAACATCGTGAGGAAACCTGCATGTCAGAGAAATAAGAAAAAAATATATTTCGAAGACATGTGAAGTTCGCCAACACGCATTGGGGCAGCGCGGCGGACAATTACTTGCCCAAAACCCTCTCAGAAATGAGCGGAGGACTGTGCCCAGCAGTGGGACGTGTATATAGGCTGTAACTTTACTTTACTTTACTTTTACATAAGAATCTAAGAAGGGCAGTCAATGATAAATAAAATTTGTTTTGTGAGTGTTTTTTTTTTTAAAAAAAAAAACACTTTAACACAATAAAAAACATGAAACTGAGAAGAAGCACCCGATCTGCCGAAACAAACTCAGAGAGGTCAGTCCAGATATTACATTGGTCATATCATACGAGAACCAGGCAGGTGGCTAATGGTCCTTTGAAGAACATACAGAGGTGAGTGGACAACTAAGTACTTTTTAGGATTCCGTACCCGAAGGGAACCAGCAGGGCCCTATTACGAAGCTTCCTGTGTCCGTGTGTCTGTCTGTCAGCGGGCTGTATCTCATGATCCGTAATAGGTAGATGGTTGTAATTTTCACAGAACGTGTATTTCTGTTGCCGCTATGACAGCAAATAGTAAAAATAAATTTGAAATTAAAGGGTTTCCTACTAGAAAAAGAAACGTGTTTTTGGGCTTTTTTGATCGATAGTATATATTTGGTATGGTACGGAAGCTCGGAAGTCGGATTCGCACTTGGCAAATATTTGTTTATATTTAACCTTACTTAGTATGTCTAAGTAAGGTTAAATATAAACAAATATTTTTTATACATAATTTACTATACTACTATATAAGCTACTACTAAATAAAATAGTAGCTTTGCTATGGTATTATAGTATATATTTTGGTTTAGATTTAATTTACCTATTAAAGAATAATACGAACTATATAAAAATTAAGGAGCGCATCAACCTACCTCAGATATTGGATTATGAATACAGATAAGTACACATAGGATTTAGTTTCTAATTTGTACATAATTATGTTATAGCCTTCGTTATCAATAGCATAAACAGGCCAAGCCCCTTAGCCTACAAACGTTTTGTAACGAATCTCTTTTTACAATCGCGCCTTTCATTTGTTTGGACTGACCACCTGACTAGTTCAGTGATGTCATTCCCATACAGTGTTTAGTTTTCAACTAGCGTTATCTACTATCATAAAATAAATCAAAATTTTATTTAATTTCACTAATTGTGTCTGTACTGTGAATTTGATTTACAATCGATCTCTAAATTGTAGTTTTCTTCTAATTACTTACCTTGTCTAGACGTGTTCTTTGGACTTCTGTAAGGAAGTCTGTGCTGTTAGTCCTATTCCGTTTAGGTACGTTACTATTTTGATAGACGTTTGTGCTTGTCCCTGCAGTGACACAATTCTTATTGTTGATAACTTTCTAAGTACTAAGAGAATATTGCAAACCGCTATTGAACACAAACAATCAATAAACAATTTACAAACTTTTTTATTTATTTAATTAACCTACATAAAAGCCCCACTCACATCAGTCGCGTTGTCAAAAAAGCAGTTATCCTGACACTGGCTGGCATATACTTCGGGGAGTTGCCTGTGGGCTATTATAGCTAACTAGCTATGATAAGTAAATATCTATTTAGAATACATAGTATCTGCAGTAATGTTTGCATAACCTACAATAAAATACAAAAACATAAAAAAACATAATTATTTTACACTTTTTTCTGTTTTAGAAGTCGATTATATTTTTTTCAATTTTTTTTTATTGTTACTATTTTTAGTTGAGAGTTATGTCCCTTTAGTGGGTACAGGTGTGATATTATACTGTGTGGTTGCGTAAAGAATGCATAGATACCGTAAATGCATACAACATGAGACAGGTTTAAATTTCAATTCACAGTATAAGGTGTAATTCTTAATAATTATGGTTTGAAATTTTACTAGAACATGAGTCTCTATCTAAGGTAATAGGAGCATATTGCAATATTGAGCCAATCAATGTAGTTTTTTTTATATATATTTATTTCGTCTTGTCTCAATTTACCTGCAACATGCGGTAAACATAAGACACCTTATAAAAGTCATGGTTTCCCATGTAGAATTTCAATGTTTGTTAATTGAGACGTTAAAAAATAACAAAATATTGAATTTGCGCAAATTAAAACAATAATAAATCAGTTATAAATAGAGATATTAAATAAAACAAAATATTATCTCCAAATCTTACCAGATCTTTTACTAGTTCTTCAAATATCAAATAAAAATTATATAAAATCGAAAACAAAAAACAAACTTCTTCATAAATCGTCAAAAAATAAATCAACATAAATCTCGATTTTGAGACCGAAGGTAATTTGAGATCTCAATTTGCCCACATGTCTCAAATTAGCCCTTAACACTAAGTAAATTAATAACATTTGCAACTTATAATAAAATTTAAACATTGAGATCAAAATTGGAGTCTAAGCTATTAGGAACGTTTTATTGCGATACATAGGCTATACCTAGGCATACCTACGCTTTGAAATGCGCACAAAAAAATATTATTTTACACAATTTTATTAGTCTTATAATTAAATATTAATATTAAAAATGTATTTTCCCCTTTTCACTTGAGTGGGCTTAATTGTATTTATTATTCGAGAAGTGTCAATTGTCATCATGTCATCCACTGCTGGAAATATGTAAATACCCTTTGTAGCTGAAAAACATCTCATGAAGCGACAGGTCACTTTTCCGTCGCTAACCATGTTCGTAACTTGAGCAATAAACTTCTTTTCAGTTTGTTTTTTCATATTCTCATTGTAGAGTAATTCGACAACAACAAAAGAATCTGGTGAAATCTCCGAATTATTTACAATTTCTGTATCGATATCTTTAGAGCAATCAGCACCACCATCACTAGGTACAGAAACTTTAAATTGTTCGTCAGTATAGACCGATTGGTCTACATTGAGTGGATCTTCATTTTCTTGGTTCTCATTATGTGGGATGTTAGTTATACGTGGTGACGCCGATCTTTCATCATCATCAGGAAACATGTCATGAACATCATCAAAAAACACTGTGTCGAACTCATTATTGTCATCGCATGATGAGTTTGCAGTATTCAAAACTGCTTCCCTCCATTCTTCTAAATCACTGCAGGAAGTGCTTTCATCATCGACGATCTTTTTTTTTTGTTTTTTCGTTTTATTACGTTTCGTCTTAGTCTTTAATGATTCGGATAAGTCCTCCACTGTTACACCTTTACCTGGAATAACTGCCACCTTTTTTTCTTCGGGGCTGTGCTGCATTCTTTTGTTCGCATATCTTCGAGATACATTTTTTCGTTTCTAACCATTGCTGCATTATTATGGATTGCTGCATTATTATGATGCATTATTATGGATTTCTGGATCTTCCTGTGTAGGCAATCTATCTAAGACTCTTTTTTCATTAATTGGATATATCCCAGCTGCTTCAAATCCGAACTTCAAATTTTTTCCCATATTTTCTATATTATCCAGAGTTTGCTTCAAAAGCCTCGGAAAAACATGCTTCGGCATTACTCCTCTATTTTTTTCCTTCCAAGACAGCAGAACAGACCTTCATTTTATTTTTAATGGTCGAAACACTGCTACATCGAGGGGTTGGCACAACCCCGTACTATTTGCCGGTAAACAAACAAATTTAATATTATAGTCAGTACACTTTTGTATCTCATCTAATGAAAAATGACTGCTCAGATTGTCACCAATTACAACCACGGGTGCTCTGCCATTAAACGATTCAACATAAGGAATAATGACCTTCAAAAACCAATCCTCAAATATTGTGTCAAACCATCCACTCCGAGATCGGTTGTAAACTGTATTTGGAAGTCCTCCTTCCGTCCAAGTATTATGTAAATGTTCCGCTTTATAAACGACGTACGGTGGAAGCAGAACACCTGACGCTGTCCCAGCAAACATTACGGAGGTACTTGATTTTGATGAGTCAATGATTTTATGAGCATGCTTGATACCTCAACGTACCAACACTTTCTGGCGTCCCGGGTCATCAGACATATTAGTCTCGTCAAAATTTACTATTGCGGCCGGATCTACATCCTCCAAGGTGGTTTTTAATTCTTGGAAGTATGATTTTAATGTCTCCTGCGTAACTACAGCTCTTTGGCGTTTAATATTTTCTGAGAGCCTTACAGATAAAGTGCTTTTATGGCGCCGTAGAAAACCTTCCAGCCAATATCGTCCCGGTAAGTTACCTTTGAAACGTGTCTCATTTAGACCTAGCCTATCTAGATGTGATTTCACGAGTAAAGATAGGTCTAAACCTGATAGTGGATATACCCAAGCAGCAGCTGTAATGATTGATTGCACAAAGACTTCCTCCAGAGCTTCACTGAAAACTTTAGGACGGCCGACTTTGTTTAATTGTAGCCTTCGGTATTTTCTATTTAAAGTTGCTCGAGGTATTTTAAATTTTTCTTCCGCTTCCCTCAAAGTCATGCCAGTGTCAACTGGGATTCGAACCCGCGGCCCCCAGCGCAGCTACTCATTGCTAAGTCACTGGGCCAAGAAGCTCACAATTGCCGTTTGAGTTTATGTTATTATTCAAAAATGAATCGCATAGGTAGGTACGCGATGACGCCGTCGCGCATTGCGTCACTCGAGTGCGAATATGTGTGCCCACTAGCTTCTTACTGCTCATCATAGCGTCTATCCCTTTCGCACGTGATGTCGGCTGAGATAGCATGCATTTTAACCCCGCCCACCATTTAGTTCGAACTATCGACTAAGGCCACCTTAAGAAGGTATCGTTGTCCTCTTTCTATGTTCAGAAAGTTAATTTTTGCCGCTCCTCTTTATACCGTAATGCATTATACTAAACTGATTGAGCTAAAGATGTATAAATTTCATTTATCAACTAAGTCGTTGTAACGTAACGCAGTTTTTTAAACATCCAAATAAGCTTAGGAATTCCGCCGTCGAGGTATTCTATTGGGTCCTTAAGAAATTAGCGTTTTGTCGTACTGACCACTTTGATCTGAAATATCTCCTCTTTGGTTAAGAATTTCAAATTCAAATTTATAAATTCGTTTAGCTGGTACATTTGAGTTTTGAAAACAGTAATTTATTTGTTTTTTCCTCATTATTTTTTTCTTTGGCGTCGCTTATTACAGCACAATGGAAAACATGAAATATCGGTATATTTACGAGTACGTGTATGGCGCTGGTATCGCAAAAAAAGCACGCTACGTTTTTGGTTTCAACGTTTTCGTTCTGGAGTTTCGCCCGGCAAATCCCGAGCGGTCGGCATGCGACCGCGCACACGCACAGCACTTAAATCCATTAAAACTTATTTTTAGAGACTACTTTTTTATGAAGAAGTTTAGCATTATAAAATTTATACAAAATTCTCTATCTTGTGGTCTAAATAAAAGTCAGGTTTTACTTCATTACAAAAAGATTTTATTATTGTATTTTGATAAAAAAATATACCAAGCGAATGCGTGAAAATCACAATTATTTCAATATATATTACTCGAAATTATTTACATAAAAAGATAAATTATATTCACACAAAAACTTTCATTACAATTTTATAAAAAAAAACACTACCTATACTAAAACACTAGAAAAATCCAAAAATCAACACAATAACATTCACGCAAAAATGGCGTACGAAATATACGTAGATTATAAATAAATATTCATAGGATAACAGATTTTTTATTGTACTAAGGGATAGAGTATTTCATATTGATTATATAATGCCAAACTTCTTCATAGAAAAGTAGTCTCTATAGGTAAGTTTTTATGGGTTAAAGTGTTGTGGGTGGGTGCGACATTATGAGACCGCTAGGGATTTGACGGAATATGGCAGCGGTCTCATGAGACCGCTAGGGGTTGAGAGGTTAAAAATCCAATTTGTGATTCACAAAAGATCTTTCCTTTTTGATAATAGAAGAGCTTGCCTTACAATATCTCATCCAATTTTAAGAAGATTTTCTTTCTTTGACTTTCTCCTAAAGACGATGGAGAATCTGTGTGAAAAGGAATTAATTCCAGCGTAAAAGCTGCACTTAGTAGACACAGAACCGAACAGGCACTGATTGACTGGGTACTAAACATGCTCAGCAAACATACAGTGAAAATTGCTGATGAGCCTCAAACAGCCAAAATAATGAAAAGTTGTCCACAGGATGGGGTTCTTTCGCCTCTCCTGGGAATATGATCATAAACGAGTTAACGAACTCATCAGCAAATTATGTGCTAATCAATTCTACACAATAGGATATGCAGACGACTTGACGACAGGGAAAGACGGCAAGCGTCGTCTGCGACCTGACCCAAGCAGCTCTTAGTGTAGTGAAGAAATGGTGGAAAAAATATGATAAGCGTTAACCCAAATAAAACGGTTTTAGTAATGTTTACACAAAAACGAGCCGAACGATTATCTTTCTCCACAAGTGTTTTGCACTAAACTTCAGCTATATTCTGAGGTGAAATATTTAGGTCTTATCTAGGACAGTAAGCTTAACTGAAATAAACACAGAAAACAAAATCAGCAAGTCTAGTATAGCCTTCTGGCAATTCAGAAATATTATTGGAAAGCGATGGCGCTGTCGTTCAGTCATACTGTGGTTGTACAGAATCGTAATGCGACCCATGATCACATACGGTGCTCTGGTATGGTGAACCAAAACGAATGAAGCCACCACTATAAAGAAGCTTCAGCGATACCAGCGATTGGCCTGTATGGCGGTTACAGGCTGCACCCCGCTTTATCTTCACATACAACAAGAATCTACGTTAGATGTTATTAGACCCAAAACCCTAAACCTTTTATGAGTAAGACTAGGTCCCTCATACAGGTATAATCGATAGAATACGCAACAAAATTCCTGTCCTACAAGCCAAGTATGACAAAATCCCCGAACAATTTGTTTGATAAGAGGTATAAGATACAATTAAGCGAAACTAACCAAGCTGGAGGGTTTAAACCTAAAAGAACTTACGGATGAACCTAAAACAAAGCAGGATCAGGAACTTTCTCGGCTTTAGCCACCATATATCCCCACCAATTCCCTTTGGGAACGTTTGTTCACTGGTAGATAATTATTATACTAATCAGCACGCTCAACTTTGGAAAACCTAGAAGACTGTAGGCAAGCTAGGGAAGCCCCGCCCGCAAAAAATTGTCCTTCAACCAAGGTTCTAATGAGTATAAACGAATCACAAAGAAGGCTAGCAACGAGTGCTTTTGCAGGGCGCTCATCAATTAACAAATATTTATTCAAAATAGGTGTTGCACACAGTTCTCAATATAGGGCATGTACGAGGGAGGAGGAACCGCTGTCTAAGTGTTGCTGGTCTATTAAGAGGTATCCGCATGCAGGGTTAAGCATCACGGCATGCCGAAGTCATTGTCAACATGAGCGGTTGCTAAACTTCTTTGAGGAGATTTCATGGCTCGAATAATCACAATATTATGGGTATGTTCCAAAACAGAACCCAGTGTACTGTCCAATGCAAATGACGTCATGAATCGACGCTATACTGCTGATTCGTTCCAAAACATAGGACAGTATATGACGTCATACATTTGCGCCATATTGGAAAAGTGTTGGCGATTATTTTGTCATTTTGTGCTCCAAAAATCATTATATCTTCCTAATGGAGATACCAGCAATTATTCTATAATTTTTTGTATTTGAATAAATACAAACAAATTCTGGCATGCTACATTCAGCGCACACACAATAAAAATTGTTTTATTGTGGCCGGATATCCGACGCAATATGGCGGCGGCACGCCAGTACAAAATAGTGTCAATTGATGACGTCATTTGCCAGTGTACTGTGTTGTATTTCGTAACATACCCTATATTAGCCGCAAGATACGCGATAAACGTGGAGTTGCGGAAAATAGCTCGTCACAAAAACGAAGCTATCTCATGTCAATATTAATGCGGCTGGCTTTATTTACCAACATTTTTATTAGTTTATTTTTATAAACAAAAGTTATCGCATTTTTTTAGATACTTAACACAATATTTATAATATGTAAAAAGAATTCATTAATGACGTGTAAGTACGAAATTATTTAATACAGTCTTTGTTCCACTTAATCTTGTAATCGGCTCGACTATGCTCTAGTTCACAGACATCTTATTACTCTGGTAGAAACTCCCCTGCCCACCATGCCACTTATCATAGGTACCTTTCTTCTTTTTTCATTCTCTTTTTCAATCGGAATCGTGTCGGGATAACATTCATGAGAGAATAAGACACAATACAAATGTTTTCAACTATATAATTTATTCACATTCAATACAAAACGCGTGTGATAGTAATTTTAATATTTATCTTTAAAATCACAGTATGGCTTAACCATGACACAACAAAAGAAATATTAACAATCACCACACACTAATAAATAGATTCGATCTAATAATAAAATTAATAAATAAATTCGAAATGAAAAATAACAGACATATTTTTTTCTGTAAATAATTATTGTTGTTTTGTCGACAATTAACACAAACTAGCTGTTCACTGATGGGCCTATCGAGGTGATTATGGCAACAAGTGAATACAATTTATAAAATGTTTCATAGAAATTATATTGAAATTAAAAAGCACATTTATTTTTAAAAGACAAACTTTCGTTGGTAATACTTAAAAGTTTATAAACATGTCATTCTATAAATACAATTTATGTAATAAGAAAATCTTCAACTAAGCACCATTCTATTCGATTATCGTTACGATGTGACTTAGCGTTGAATACTATATACGGTTATTAAATTATTAAAATTAATTTGACTTAGGGAAGCAAAAAAATAATTATTGGCTAGAGTTAAACGTATTTGGGTAAAACATTTGTGCAAACACACAAAAATCGTGTCATCTTTTTCTTTAATAAAATAATGTCCCTATATCAAATCCAGTCGCTTACATCGTTTAAAGGCACATAATATAATGTACATAAATACTCTAACAAAAACGATAAATATATGCAAAACATATTTTATTTTTATACTTTTAACTTCAATTCGGTTAAAGCATATACTGTTAGCCGCATAGAACATTATAATACACAATAGAATGGCTGTCAACCTTATTTTGTACGACGATAGGCGTCGCCGGGAGCACACATACAAGCAATTACGTCGTATTATCACTACTACAAACCCGATTCGCTGTGTTGACAGACTGATTTTAATATATATTTATTTGTAAATTTGGCATTTTTTAAATAATTTGCACGCGAAATTTGGAAACGACTGTAACGTCAAAACACATCTCGTGTTGACATTTATAAGTGTGAATTGACGTGTTAATGGCATTTTAGTGGCTACACGGGCTCCGCCCACTCCCCCGTTCCATAATGTATGTATTATAGTATTCTATGGTTAGTCGTATAGCAATAGATACAATTCTCGCTTATTGTAAGACAAAAAAATCTCACGCAGATTCTTATTCACTTTATGCAATTTTTAGACACTTCATTTCAGTTACAGTTTCCGCTAATATATTACGGTCTTAACTGAGAACTTATTTAAATAAATATTAGTGCTTTCGTCATTTATGAGAATGTTGAATATTTTAGATGCGTTTTGATTTATGAAATACATAACAAATATTTGAAAAGTAAGAATCACTTTGGAAAATGTCTGAATAGAAAATATGTTGCGGAAGCTTCTGAAGATCTACCCTGAAGTTAATAAATTATGTGTAAGGTTTATTGAAAATGCTAACTTTAATCACAAACGATTGATTGGTTTAAAAATCGATGAAAATTCAATACCGTCTCTCAGTCAATTTTCTCAGGGCATTCTGGACTGTCGCTTTCGCCTTTAGATGGGACATTGGATCTGAAATTGTATATTAATCAAGTGATTATTTTTGAATATCAGTTTATTCAATATATAAATGTGGAACTTGGTAAAAATCTCTATGAAGTAATTGTTACAATTTATAGCAAATGTAACCATTGATTAACTGACGCCGTATAAATTATAATAAATGACAAATAGGCAAATAATATATTTACATTTAGAATTATACTTTAATATTTTATTTGTATTGAAATAACTAATGATAAATATTTCTCTAAGTCTATACATAATAAATACATTTTAAAATTATTAGTGCAGAAAATTTAATTGAAAGCATGAAGCGTGCAAAGAGTAAAAACTTTAATTTTTGGGAAAGTTATTTTTATTATTTACGTGACATGTATGAATTTATATTATGAACAATACACACCTTGCCAGTAAGTCCGCAGCATCTGGTTTCCTTGTCACACTGATTGAGATCTTTCTGTTCCTTATTTTGTCTAGAATATTTTCAGGGCTCGGTTCCTTTTCGCTCTCTTTTAATATAATGGCAGAATTTCGAGTTCTTTTCGGCCTATATGTGGCGTAATTACCGGGAGTATACAAAGAATTAGTTCTACTGTATCTTTGGGGTTCTCTCAAGTGACTTAGACTGTGGTCTTCGTTACTATCCGAACTGTCTAATAGAGACTTTGTTCTCGAGTACCTGTGAGTTCCAAACGTAGCAGGCTGATCATAATCTAAGTAACTTCGACCGCTTGAAAACTTTCTGAAATCATTTCGATCCAGGGATCGATATGTATCAATTTTGTCGTTAAGTCCGTCGTATCTATTTTTTGTGCTTGGATGATCAGTTAATAAGGATCTGTAGCGGTCCGTAGATGGTGACAAGTCTGATGCAACAGAAAATCCAGGCGATAAGTCGTACTTAATAGGAGAATTAGGAGAAACGTCAAATTTGGGCTCTGTCGGTGGTGAATGAAGTTTAGCGATGGGGTCGTACTCTGTAGCCCCTGGACCCACTAGACTACTTTTTCGTCGTTGCTTCTTTTCATTAAACCTCGAATAAAAGCTTTTTCTTCGTATTCTATCAACTATATCTTCTTTTTCAGGACTAATGGAGTCTCTATTCCGCGTAGTATTAAGTACAGAGGTCTTTGGCAGTGTACTATCAGATATCTTATCCAGCACCTTAATATCTGCGCTGTGCTCGGATCTAATATCAGAATTAGAATAAATCGATCGACTTCTTGAGCGACTACGACAATGTACCTCGTTTGTTTCAGCTTTAGTATTACTACTATCGGGTATATGTCCATTTTTCTCGAAAATATCTTTGTCACCTGAAGAGATATTCATAACTTGCGGTTCTATCACAGGATTTGTAGGAACTATTTTTTTAACTCTTGGCAACCTGGAGAAGTCTAATTTCAACGTATTTCTTATATTTTTAGGTTCATTTTCTTTTTTAAGTACCAACTGCTCATCATTTTCTAACGAATTAACGGAAATGCTGTCACTTGTTGCTTTATTATTCTTACTCTTACGCCCTAAACCATTTAGAAGTAATGAAGTCGGTCTTTTAGGTTTTTCTTTATCACTATCTAAATTTGTTTCGGTCTGTGAATCATGTTTATTAATTTTACTAAAATTTATTATATTTTCGTTAACAGATTTTTCAACACCGGATTTCAAACTCTTTTCTTTCGGTTCAAATTTCTTGAACAAACCTAAAACCTTGGAAACAGTTGTCTTATTTTGGTTAGTAACGTTTTGATTTTCTAAGGCAGCAACATTTGTTAAAGTAACCGCTCTTTTAATAAGATTCGACTCGGTGGGAGGATCTGTTGTTACAGGAACGGATTGTTCTCGCTGCATTCTACTTAACTTTAAGGATTCCTTTTTGGAATCATTTGAACCAATACTGCCTTGAGATGCTTTTTCAGGAGAGTTAGACTTTGATGACGCTAGTTTCTCCAATTTATGACCTATGGATTGTAAAACAGACTTCTTTTTTACTATAGTCACTTCTTTAGGACTATCATCCATACTTTTCTCTTTTACTTTTTTAACAATTTTCTTTTTCTCCGATGAATTATTAACATCAGTTGATTCTTGGTTATCAACTAAATCAGACTTTGATTTTGAAGAAACTTTTTTGACTATTTTCTTTCTAACTGTTTTTTTATTACTCGTCTCGCTATCAATTTTTTTAGTTTCTGTCATTTTAATAGCACTGTTTCCTACGGAAGATTCATTTGTCTCAGCATTTTCTACTACCGTGCCATTTCCAATATGAACAGTATTGTCTACTTTATTTTGAGGCTCTTTATCCTCTTTTATGATTTTATATTTTTTTAATACAAGAGTTGGTGTAACGTCTGTTCTAAGTTCAGTTTCTTGTTCGGGTAGTTGTTGTTTTTTATTTGGATCTGGTTTTGATATTGAAATTAATTTTTTCTTCGGCAGTGTAACGCTAAAACTTACTTCCACGTCACTTTTACTATCTTGATTTATATTATCTTCTTTCAGAATTGACGAATTTTTTAATTCATCCTTTTTTCCGTTTCGATTTAAGTAATTTTTTTCAGGTGACGGGCTACTTGTAGGATAACTCTTTGGTCGTATTAATTTCGTCTCTCGTGGTAATTTTCTTTCGTCATCTTCTCGATTTTTTACTGCACAACTTTCTTCTAACATAACTTTATTTGATTCTTCCAACGTGTTTAAGTTTTTTAATGGATAGCTTTTTGGTCTTAACATTTTAGTTTCTTTATCTTTCAATGTGTTATTATTAAGACATTGTTTATGATTTTTGAGTTCGGTATCATTTACGTTTGATGTTTTATTTAAATCTGCCACAGTCAATGAAGTGTCTAAATTAGTTTCCTTAATATTGTCTAGAATTGGAAAGAAAGGCGTTGTAGATCTACTTCGTTCCTTGCTTAGTATGTTACTTACTGGTGAAAGACATTTACGAAGATAAGTGGATTCATCGTTGTGTAATGAAGTCGGGTCATTTACATCTACAGGGCTTTTAGGCGAATCCAGTGACTTATTTTTCTTTTCTCTAATTTCTTTGAGGATTTTTTGAGTTTCCAATTCTTTTTCTTTTTTGTGTTTAGCATAAATATTTTCATCCGGAGGAGTATCAAAAAAGTCCGATCTAAGGAATCTTGATATGCGTTTTTTGGGTTGATCACCTGCCAATCTCATTGAATGGCGTCTAAAACCCATACCGGATGTATTACCTAGTGATGATGATCCATATGCCGCAATATAGCTCGGTTCTGATAATATACTGCTACAGTCAGAAGAATACGATTCGTCTAAAGATAAATGTCGTTCGGGAATTAAATATTTACTAAGTAGTGGACGGTCCGGAGTGTAACGCATATTACTGCCTCGTGATTGATTTGATTCCTTTCCGAGGCATTTAGTTGAATAATCGTAGTCTACAGTATCGACAATAGATGACGGAGATACAGAATCATTAGACGTTGCTGAATTTCGTTTAGGCCGGGGTAGTGTACAAAATTGTGAGACGTGCGTCGAAGGTAATTCAATAAATTCGTCCATATCAACAATTCTCTTTTCTTCGGTCTCTTTTGTACTTGAGGGCTTGTCGATTTCTTTTTTGTAAATATCCACAGGTGTACTAGTTTTGTCGGTATGTATTTTTTCTTGAGGATTTTCTATAGAAGCGTCATCGTCGATGGATTTTACAGAGCAACTACGTGAATAGCGATCTTGTTTAACATCTTTGGCGACAGTTATATTTTCCTGGATTTGAATGTTAGCATTTTTAGTAACGGCGGCTATGTCGTTCTTCTGGACGTTTATTATGTCATCGGGTTTCGGAGTGAGATCGCGCGGGTGAAGTTTGTCGTCGGTGTCGGGCGCGAGTTGGTCGTGCTCGGAGGAAGCGGCGCGGGGGGCGCGGGGGGTGCGGGTGGGCGGCGCGGCGTTCAGCGACAGCGTGCGGCGCAGCGTGCGCGCGGCGGCGGGCGGCAGGTGCGCCAGCAGCTGCTGCTGCAGGCGCCGCGACAGCGCCGGCGTCAGTCCCGACAGCGCCCGCATCTCCCTCTCCGAGAACTCGATCGAACTCAAATCCAAATCCGACAGATCCAAACCGCGCTCGGTATCAGTTTGTTTTGCCTTTGACGATTGGTGCTTCTTGCCGGTTTTCTTACAACTACCTGCAACGGAACCCAAAAGGACACACGGTTTCGATCATGCATTACGGTCGCACAATATGATATATTTACAGTGATTTTCTGTTACAGAATCGACTTTGCTATTTAAGATTCAAAAATTACAGTTTTGAGTAGATTTATCGTTCTTACTAAATCAATGTTTTATAAATTGTATTCGTAAAGTAATTCACAATTAGGCAAGAAACAATGCAACGGGTTAAAAGTTAATTGTAAAGTCTAAAAAGGACTAATTGATTTTAGGTCAAAAGAAAAGCTCACATATGCAAAACAAAACACAATATTATGCATTAAAATGTTGCTTTATGATCAAATTTAATTTACCAGAATGCAAATTAAACTGCATCAGCGTTCTGTATACCGCGTTATAAAGGCATCTCTATTCTGGTAAACAGCCGTAGCGCGGTGCGCAACACAAAACACATAAATGAAGAAATAAATATGGTTTAGTACCTATTCTTGTGTGGCGTTTGTGGCGGGTTTGTGGTTGGCGCTGTTGCCGCTGTGATGTGAAGATTTGGTCGGAGCATGCAGTGTAACGCGCAACCCAACTGCAACCACACCAACACAACCTCACTACCGCTGCTCAGCCTGCCCCTCCCCCTCCCCCTCCCGGTCTGGCTGCAGGTAACCTTGTCCCCAGAGCCCGCGTCCCACATGTGCTCAATTCACATATGCAATACGATTCTTAACACTTAGTAAGTGCCCCCCTCCCTGACGTACGTACACTTATGAATGAATACATGTGCTACCACCATCCACTATCTACACATTATGGCCTCACTTTGCAAACAAATTAACTGTCAGTCTGTAAATAGTACAGTCCAAATTACAAAAAATAAATAAATAAAATATTAACGATCTTTATACATAGAAATTTCTATTGAACAACAATACTTCATTGCCAAGTACAACATAATAAATGAAATGCCTTTCTGTTCCAATTCATGCAATTTTGCTATAATAAAAAAATACTAGAATAATGGAGAGCAACGCAACATTTTTCTGCTAATGTTAGATGATAGGAGAAATTGAACACCTGCACAAAGAATGCATTTTAAAACAGTACAACACTACGATGCAGTAAAAAACATTAAAATGTATTAATATTGTTAATAAAAATTAAAAAAAAAACCACTAGTACTAACGTAACATAAATTATAGACTATACTATGTAAAAACAACCGATAGTCTATTAAATATGTTTGGAAAGTTAAAAAAGATCAAACCGTAGGTGACAGTGGAAAACGTCACTAATATCGATGCGCTTAATGTTCACGTCGGAATAAGTTTTGCATGATATGGCATGGATTGATAGTTAATTCATTTGTTTAGTGGAAGCCAGCAGTCTGGTAGTGTCGGAGGCCGTGCTCGGCGCTAACTACTGCAGTGTCGTGAATACAATGTCGACTTGCCATGCTTTGTTGATTTCTTTACATTTTAAATGTTATTTGTAGTTATGTATTTTTATGAATAAAGGAATAATGTAATATTATTAAGAAAATTTTTATATTGGGCCGCTACTGTTTAAAAAATAAGTAATGCGAGCTACCAATCTTTATTGTATATTAATAAATTTTAAAAATATTGTCATCGTTTATTATTGCTTTTTCATTATTTAATTATTGTTCTTAGGTACATTACGTATGTTATATATATAAATAAATAAAAAGGCAATGCAAGCTAAATTGATGTTTTACACACACACATTTAAATATATATATATATATATATATATATATATATATATATATATATATATATTCATTCATCAATAAACTTTGAGACATTAGGTTTCACTCTTCTACTTTTGCACTCCTAAGATCTTTAATGTTATCTGATACTTGATTGCTTTCTTTAACTTGTCTTCTTAGTTTACCCGCGACATGGTCTTTCGGGTTTAGATCTATTGGGCGAGCTAATCACTCTAAAAGCGAGTCCAGTGTGAGCAGTCGTACGTACAAGACGTGTTACAAATTATTTAAATGAGAATTTATATATATATATAATCACGTTGTGACAAAAATGGATTGTCGTTTACCGTTCTTATATTTTAATTTCTATAGAGCAACTTACAGTAATACAATTAGTGGATTTTTGTTCGTTGATGAATGTGTCGATGTATTTTTTTTTTGCATTCAGCATGAATGGAAGATATGATAAGGAAATAGAACGACGAGTGAACGTAGGAAATAAAGTAAATGGGGCTTTACACTCTATTGTGGAAAGTCAGAATATGTCAAAAAAGATGACGTATGACAATTCACAATACTGTGTTAGTCCCTACTTTAACGTATGGTAGTGAAAGTTGGGTGTGGCAGAAGAAGCAAGAGAGTAGAATAAATACAGTAGAAATGCGGTCGCTAATGAGTATGTTAGGGCTGAATCTGAGTGATAAATGAGTATGGTTTGCAAGATAATGTTGTGACCAGGATTAAGAAAGGAATGCTTCGGTGGTTTGGTAATGTAGAAAGAATGAATGAGGAAAGAGTGACAAAGCAAATTTATGTTACAGAAATGAACGGAAGAGTGTAAAAGGGACGTCCTAGGCGAAAGTTTATCGAACAAATTGGCGATATATTGAAAATGGGCCAAATTAATTGTACTCTTAACCGACGAGCACGTATGCGTATGTATATGGATGTGGAGAAGGCGAGAGAGGTATGTCAGGATCGTCCTAAATGGAAGTCTGTAGTCTCTGCCTACCCCTCTGGGTGACAGGCGTGAGTGTCTATGATATGATTATGATATGATTTTTGGTACTAATTATACTTTTACTTACTATTATAAATTATATAGTTATTTGTGTATGGACATCTTTATTTAATATTTTTCTTATAAGAATGCTGTTACAAAACTATATGTTTGTGAAATATTCATAATTTTAATTTCCTTGTATATTTTATGTGTCGGTGTGTTAAAATCATAATTAAACAAAATCTTTAATATTAATATTTATTTTAGGCCATTTGTAGGGCGACCTGATTTTTTTTTGCAGCCGCAACCCATACTTCTTTTAAATAATGAATGTGTGGTTTAATGAGTGTATTATAAATCGTGTATCTTACTTGCCGCTGTAAACATCGAATTAAACAGCTCCGGTGAGGGAAATTAGTTTACTTCTTATTTTATTAATGACTTACATGTCATTTTTTCAATTTAATGTCTTGATTGTTTTTCATCTCGTAAGAACTGCCAGGGAGAATTCAAAACAGCCTAGAATGAATGCTATACGAGACAAGAACGGATGTATTCTGAGTGACGAAGTTTCGAGTTTAAAGAGATGGAAGGAATACTTTGAAAACGTGTTTATGATTGAAGGGTCGTCTGAAATAAATAAACTAGAAATTCCGAGAGAAGTAGAAAGGCGATAAGTGTAGATGAAATAATGAAGCAATGAAAGCAGGTAAGGCAGCTGGATATGATAGAGTATCACTCGAGGGCTAGAGAGGGAGTGGTGGCAGATCTGCTGCACACCTTGTTTAATTTATGTTGGGAATTAAAGCGGGTACCGGAAGACTGGTGTAAAGCAGTTATAATCCCAATATATAAAGGAAAAAAGTCACAGCAGGAATGCAAAAACTACCTTAGTTGGTCAGCTTGCTTAGTATTGTGGGTAAATTGTATCCTAAGGTGTTAATTGAACGAGTTTTGAAAGAAACGCTGAATGGGGTGTACAGATCAAGTCGTTTCAACGTGCATGATTGCAGAGAAGTTTTTGGCCAAAAACCAGAAAGTTTTTTATGCGTTCATGGACTTGAAAAAGGCTTATGATAGAGTGGACAGGACTGTGTGGCAAATGCTGAACTCAATTGGGTTGAGCACTGGTTTTATACAGATATTAAGGTCTCTTTATAGGGACTCCAGTGCTTGTGTCAGGATCAATGGGGTCTACTCAGACTGGTTTGGCATCTAAAAAGTTGTCCGACAGGGCTGTGTAGCTTCCCCGTGGCTGTTAAACTTATTTATGTTGTTTGCAAACTTTGAAAGGCCTTTTGTACGCCGATGATCAAGTCATATTTCTATCGTCGGCGGCCGCGTTGCAAATGATGGTTACATTAATGAACTGGGCATTAAAAGAAACGCGAATAAAGGTGAACGCAAGTAAGACGAAAGTGATGGTTTTTGAAAGAGAAGAAAGTAAAACGATAATATGTGAAATAAGAATAGAAGGGGAGTTGATTGAGCAAGTGGATGAGTTTGTGTATTTGGGATGTGTATTTAGCAGAGATGGTAGATATGATAAGGATATAGAACGACGAGTGAATGCAGGAAATAGAGTAAATGGGGCTCTACACTCTATTATGAAGAGTCAGAATGTGTCAAAAAAGGCATTATGGTAATTCATAATGCTGTGTTAATCTACTATAATGTATGGTAGTGAAAATTGGGTGTGACAGAAGAAGCACCAAAGTAGAATAAATGTTGTAAAAATGCAGTCTTTAAGGAGTATGCTAGGGCTGAATCTGAATGACAGGGTGAGGAATTGCGTGATAAGACAATAATGTGGTGTGCAAGATGATGTTGTGACCAGGATTAAGAAAGGAATGCTTCGGTGGTTTGGTCATGTAGAAAGAATGAACGAGGAAAGAGTGACAAAGTATATTGCAGATGTGAACGGCAGCGTCGGGAAGGTTCGTCCTTGACGAAGGTTTATCGACCAAATAGACGATATTATGAAAATGAGCTACATTAGGAGTACCCTTAACTGAAGAGCGTGTATGCGTAGATATATGGATGTAAAGGAGACGAGAGAGGTGTGATTTCTAACGTTTTTATCCATATCATTCGTTTGCTCTTTATTTGTGGCTTGTGGTTCAGGAATTTCAGTTAGTTATATTTTTACTTCGTGTTTTACGATTCTTAATTTCAGTCATCATACTTTCATACACCTTTTCTGCTAAAGATGATGAGGGTGCAACTGCGGTAGACTTTAATTTTTCGACTTGGGATTCTAGTGTCTCAATCTTATTTTAGTGGCTGTGATTTTAGTTACCAATTTCAATAATATGTCCGATTTTATTAAATATTGTTTTGAGGTAAGATTGTTAACATATGTTTTTATACCGCTTATTTGTTCTTTGATAACTCTACCATCATTAGATACTTTGTCTATAAAGTCCTTTTGACTAGCGCTAAGTGTCGATAACATAACCATTTTTTGTTCCATTTGTTTTTGCTACAGCTTACTAATTTATTTTTATTGAAAATTACCAGACAAAAATTGAGAGAACTCGAGAGCTTAGCTGTTACTTGCTAATTTGGCTGAGTCACTACATCCAAACCCTAGACAGGGTTGGGGTTTTCCTAAAAAAAATTTTTTTCTTTTTAAAAATGTTTTAAAAAAAAAAATTTTAAAAAAAAATTAATTTTGATTAAAAAAATTTTTTTTTTTTTTTTATTTTTTATATTTGAATTTTTATTTTTTTTTTTTTTTTTTTCTAATCAGGACTCCCTTCCATATTACAATTTATCCAGAATCCCCGTAATATACATAGTTTTTAATTCATTCTCCTGCTTAACGCAATTCCTTTGTATGGTGCGACGTTGCCACTCTTATTAGTTATTCTGCTTTGTAATATTTTATTTATGGTGGCAGGTATTCGATAGATTCCTATAGTCTGTGTTTTTTCGCAGGAGACAAAAATAACAGATCTTTATTAGATTCGTTTAGCACGAATAATACAGTTTTTATGATTCTGGTTCAGATTAGATTTAATTTTCGTCACTTAAGTTTCGTATATTGTTCAAAATAATGAAATAAATCCACAGAATGTGCTGTTACGAAAAATACGCAATATCATTTTTGTCTCCGGCGAAAAAAAAAACAGGTAGATATCATGATTAATTTACCAACTAGTTATTCGTTTACTAAATACGAAAAATATCTAGGATTGCCCAGCCGTGATATATTATAGATTGACTATATTATTATTTATTTTACTATTGTAAATTGTAAGTTACTAATTGTAAATATTGACAGGTTTAATAGAAGTTCATTTTCTTATATTGTGACTAATAACCTAATATGACCTTGGCAAGAAACTCATTTTAATATAAGGTTTTACTGCATTGACTGCCAATGGGTTGTTAATTTCTACAATAGACCGTAGGCGCTATTGCTTGCTGACATGAATAATTGTTCTCCCTGGAAAGAATATTATCTGATATTTATTGCGGTCTACTTGATCGTATTGAGTTTTGGTGCTCCCACTGCGAGTTTACTTTTTATGATCACTATCTTAAGGATGAGTGCGAATTATTAACCTAATCTGTACAAAATTACTCTCTACTTAACTAGATTCATTTTTGTGAAAGGCTACTTTTGTTAAATTATGATATTATGTTTGGTTTTGCAGTTAGTTGAAATACAATTTGTTTGTGTTGTTGTTATAAATATTGGACGCTATATTACTAAAAACATGCATATCGTGCTCTAATTGGCGTCCGTATTGTGACCTACGCACATTGAGAACTTTTCACGCTTATGCTTGCTTGCATTTAAGTTTCTTTGGTTATATTTAGTAACTTAGGTAAATAAACTTGTGTAAGTTGATTAATGTACTTGACATGGACATTGAACGGAGTATTTACCCATATACGGACGTAAGAATATCCTAAAATATTCACACTAAGTTTTATTTGACGTCCACTTCTTCGATATCCGATGTCCAAAGTTGTTGTTGATTATTGCATTTTACTATTTATTTATGTTGATTATTTATTTAGTGCTCAAGGCATATTTTGGTATTTTTTTGTCGGTTTATACTGTACTCAGTGCTAGTAGATAATTTTACTTTCCAATTTGTTTTCGTGTTCTTAGATTTAGCTACATATAATAATATGGACGTCCGAATATCCTAAAACATTCATGCTGAATGATATTTGACGTCCATATTTTGAATTTTGTTATATTTCTATATGTGGACGCCAGATTATCGGTAAAGTTTCATACCGCACGATATTTGACGTCCATATAACCATGAATATATTTATATTTTAATTTCTTGTGTATAAGACACACATTAATGATCATTACTTTAATGACATTTTTCGCTATTGTTTTATTTTTATTTTTAGTGTAGCCCATGCGGTATGAAATAGTCACTTTGGTGTTTCATAAAATGCTCCATTCTAGAAACGACAAAACGCTTAGAAAACCTTTCTTATTTCTTTTTTGATAAATGTTTTGGGGCACTGTGTGCGCCAAAATTTTAACTTTAAATTACTACCTGTGTACGTGTACCATAATTATATGGACGTCCGAATATCCTAAAACATTCATACTGAATGATATTTGACGTCCATATTTTGAATTTTGTTATATTTCTATATGTGGACGTCATATTATCGGTAAAGTTTAATACCGCACGATATTTGACGTCCATATAACCATGAATACATTTATATTTTAATTCCTTGTGTATTACACATTATATATGTTGAATTGAAATTAATACACATTAATTGTCAATTCAACACATTAATGATCATTGCTTTAATGACTTTTTCGCTATTGTTTTATTCGTATTTTAGTGTAAGGATGCGGTGTAAAATACTCACTTTGGTGTTTTATAAAATTTTTCGTTCTAGAAATGATAAAACGCTTAGAAGCTTAGAAAAGGTGTGTGAAAAATTAAATTGTATTTCAATTAACTGCAAAACCAAACATAATATCATAATTTAACAAAAATAGCCTTTCACAAAAAATGAATCTAGTTAAGTAGAGAGTAATTTCGTACAGATTAGGTACAATAGTCGCACTCATCCTTAAGATGCAGTGAGAGCACCAAAACTCAACACGATCAAGTAAATAAATTATATTTTCGGAGTTACGTCAGCAACAATATGCCACGGTCTATTGTAGAAATTAACAACCTATTGGCAGTTAATGCAGTAAAACCTTAAAATGAGTTTCTTCGCCAGAACATATTAGGTTATTAGTCAGAGGTTATTAGTCACAATATAATAAAACAAACTTCTATGAAACCTGTCAATATCTACAATTGAGTCCATCTTCCTGTACTCAATCAGAAGGTAACTTATACTCAAATAGAATTATGGGTTGCTTACGAAATACCTAACAAGAGTTCTTTTAGGCAGATTAGTACCAAATGTAAAATGTTAAAATATAGTGCAGCATGAAATAAACCGATAAGCCGACGTCCGCATCTTAAACATTCCGCATCTCAGACATTTATAAAAATATAACTAAATTCAAAAATACGGGTGTCAAATATCATTCAGTATGAAAGTTTTAGGATATTCGGACGTTCATATTATGTGTAGGTAAATGTAAAGTTAAGAAAACAAGTTTAAAAGTAAAATTACTAGTACCAAGCGCAGTATAAACTAATCGAAGACTAGCCATCGGCGCAGGACAGGATTATAGTGCCTAAGTGTAGGCGCAACCATAGGTGCACTCTCTATTCCCTCATTTTCATAATTCGATGACACGGTAAACCGACACGACCGGAGAGAGATCAGGCGCAGGACCAACGGCTTTACGTGCTTACGAGGCACGGGGGTGATATACCGCCAACTTCCTGACTCCGGGCAGATATTGAGAATTTCTTGAAAAACTCAATAATTGATTTTTTGGCCCGACCCGGGAGTCGAACCCAGGACCTCACGATCAGCAGTCGCACTACTACAACCACTAGACCAACGAGGCAGTCATTACCATATATCACCAAATACAAGTAACACGTTGGCAAAGGTGACGGAACGGCAACGTCGCATCTTCTAATTTTGTGCGGAAGTCAAATACGGCCATAAATGAAAGTATTCACAAATCGACAGCAGCGCTATTATTTTTGCAACGAAAATTAGCGGAACTACGTAAATATTCAGTACAGCAAGATTGGAAGAAAAATGTCCAATTCTTTTTTTAGATTTTGACATTTCTGCGATCAGCATGACAATTTGCGAACATTGCGCTAAGTCTCCTATTTGACGTCGGTAAGCAGGTTGACGCCACATTATATGCAAAATTGGCCATAGTGAACGTACAATAAGTTAAGGGATGTATATTATATATATATATATATATATATATATATATAATTTTCATTTAAATAATTTGTAACACGTCTTGTACGTACGACTGCTCACACTGGACTCGCTTTTAGAGTGGTCAGCTCGCCCAATAGATCTAAACCCGAAAGACCATGTTGCGGGTAAACTAAGAAGACAAGTTAAAGAAAGCAATCAAGTATCAGATAACATTAAAGATCTTAAGAGTGTAAAAGTAGAAGAGTGAAACCTAATGTCTCAAAGTTTATTGATGAATTAATAAAAAAATATGCCCAGACAAATGCAAAAAGTTTTGGCTTTTTTTTCAATTTTAATTTTGTTTTGTTTAATAATTTTAATTTTACTAACTAATTTTAATCGTGCCTCGAAACAACATATTAATTTCTCTTTACATTATATTCATTATTAGTATAGTTACCGTATTTTTAAGTATGTACTTATTACAATCAATTTACAAATTTATTGAATAAATTAATTACTTATATCGCGTTTGATTTTAACTTTCAATTTTCAGATATGATTTTTAAATATTTATCCTAGAAACAACTTTTGTAAATAAGTGAAATATTTTTATAAAAGTTTTTTTTTAATGCAATGATCTTATTACAATGTAATTTCCAAGTAACTACGAAAATGTTCTTTAAAGTGTATGAATGTACGCAATTCTCAACGTTTGCGCTGCAAGCAGTTGTCGTGCGAGTGCGTGAGAGCGTGCGATACTAGCGACGTTTTCCCGTGCGATACGGCTAAGTAGCTCTAGTGGCGCAAGTGGCGCAAGCTCACTCACCTCGCGGCATCGGCTGCCGGCTCTTGTTGAACATCGATTCCCAGTCCGAGTGCAAGTCGCGCGAACCCCAACCTTCTCGCCTGCGCAATAAAGTATAATTTACTGTAGCAAATGCTGTTAGTCAATTATGGAGTTTTATTTATTCATACATAAATTTTTTAATTTATTGCAGTCCATAGAAGTTCACGACTGAACATAAGTCACCCCATGGATTGCCTCAGGGGAAGTATTTGCCATAGTTTCCACGCCGGGCAGACGATTTAGCAACAGCAGTTTTTTCATTGCTTTAGAACGAGATGCTGCTAATTTCCCTTTGCGGGTTGCAAACACTATGGGATTTTATAACACTACGGGATGAAATGGTGTAGCGTGGAGATCTCATACGATAACACATTTGATTAATATTTCACGGCATATATGATTGACATACATAATGAATTACAGTATTTCTATTTTTGATAATAATTAAGAACAACTGTCTTTAATTATCTAGGAGGTAAAATTTATCTTGTGTAATAAACAGTTATGGTAAATAACAATGTATTCCCGATTGTTGTTGTTAAGCAGCAGTGCACTTACTGTTGTGTTAGTTTGAAGGGCATTCTGTTTTCGATATTAGTTAACAAGCACAAAGTTCTAAAATGGACAGAAATATTGGTTGCAGGGTGTGCATGAACTTAAGTGGTCACTCGCTTTACGGTAAATAAATTGGAAAGTACTAATTTCGGGCTATATATAAAAAATCGATAATTCGTTCTAACTTTCAATATAATTAAAAATTGTAACTACTGGAAAATTTAACTGACTATAATATATAGCGAATAGTAATATATATATATATATGTATACAAACTCACGTCTCAGACACACTTCGTTTACTTTCCACATATTTATGAGTGCTGCATGTAAATAAATAAAAATAATTGTATTTTAAAAGATGTGGATATCAACATTTGGTTAGCTAATTTAATATTATGAATGTAATGGAAAATCATTTTGAATACTTACATCAGATGTCTCCTTGGTAAGTGAGGGCTGCATGCGGAAAATTAAGCGATTTATCATTAGTTGTAATGAACAAAATCAGTATAGAACACTTTACAATGCGATTCAAATAGGAATAGGACTGACCTGGCGCCATATTGTGACGTCATAGCTATTCATTCAAACCGGTTAGGTAGAGTGAGCAAAACAGATATTTTTGAAATATTTAATTACAAAAGAACCATGAACGAAAAAGTATGAATCTGAATCTAGCATTTCAATTTTGCTCATCTCTGCACCACTGTCTGAGTAGTCAACATTGTCATCATTATCATCACTGCTGCGTTCCCTTGTAAATATAGAATATGTAACATTTATGTCGGTATTTAAAATATTCCACCGACTAATGTCAATATTTTAAATGAATTTATAAAAATAATCATCAATTCGATAGATGTGGTAATATAAAGACACAGTTAAATAAAGAGGAAAAAATCGTTATTAATAAGCAAATTAATTTACTTTTCCTATTCTTACTTGCATCGCATTGTACATGCAACATTTCGACAAGTAATCGACATACTACGACATACGAGTAATGGTATATTAAATAAATTAACGGAATAAATAACTAACATAGTGAGATTGTTAAGACGATGATTATTAAGTAAATAAAACATCGCGTTTTATTGGCACCTCAATGTCTATGGTATCAAAATAATAAAAGAAAAAATTAATTGAATATTAAGTAGTTAAGTTGAACTTATATCAGTAACTGGTTCATACAGTTGTTCTGTTCAAAGCATAAAAACATATTACCATATTATGCCATAATAATAATGGGTCAGGGAAAAAGTCTCTTCCGTATTTTGTTTGTATAAAATTGAAGAAAAATCTCTGTGGTTGTACTGTTTGTATCTGGTTGGTTTTAATATCAATACATATATAGGACATTAAGAAAAAGAAAAAGTAAAAAACAATTTCCCGTCATTTTTCAATTGTTTTCTGTCTGCCAAAATGAGTAAATTTAACAAAGAAGTTCGATACATTCTGAAGTTTTATTACAAAAAGGAAAAAATGCGACTTAGTTCCCGAAAAATTTTTTTACGTTTATGGACCTAATGCAGTGTCAATAAGAGTAGCACAAAGTTGGTTCAAGTGTTTTCAGTCCGGAAATTTTGATGACAAAGATACAGCTCGCTTTGGTCGCCCTCATACGGATAAAGACAATTTTTGAAAAAGTGGGGCTAGTTCGGCGTATTAGTAATTACGACATAGCCGAGGAATTGAGGTTTCTTCACCACAAAAGAGTTTTGACCCATTTGAAAAATTCTGTCTATACAAAATATTGTTTTTTTTTTAAATTGTATGGATATATCTGGGTACCACACGAGCTCACTGAAAGAAACCTAATGAATCGTAAAGAAAACCGAACTATTTTTGAAAAAATTGATCACTGGTGATGAATAGTGGATCACCTACGCCAAGAACGTGCGAAAAATATCGTGGTCAAAGGGTAGTCAAATTCCACAGACAGTAACGAAACCAGAATTAACAGTTAACACGTAATAAGGTGATGCTGTGGCTATGGTGACATTGTAAGGGCATCGTTTGTTATGAGCTTTTCCGCCGGGCAAAACCATCGGTTCGAATCCTCTACTGACAACAACTAATGAGATACAAGTAAGAAATTGAGAAAAAACTGCCGCAATTGATCAACAGAAAAAGAGTGGTCTTTCATCATGATAACGCCAGATCACACATACTTTAGTCACTCAGGAAAAATTGCAGGAAAATTTGAGAGTTTGGTTGGGAAGTGTTAATGTATTCACCATATAGTCCTGACCTAGAACCTTCTGATTTTCATCTGTTTCGGTTCGGTCTTTTCAGAATTCTTTGTGTAGTGTTAGGTTAATATCAAGAGAGGACTGTTAAAACTACTTGTCGTATTTTTTTTTAATCAAAAATTCCAAGATTTCTACAGCAATGGGATTTTGTCACTACCTACAAGATGGCAACAAGTTATCCAACAAAATGGCATATATAATTGAATGTAATTAAAGTAAAAAAAAACTTGAATTTGTATATAAAATACAAAAAAAATCTTGAATTTGTATATCAAATACGAAGAAACTTTTTCCCCGAACTTATATAATTGATAAATAGTTGAATGAAAGTGAACTCTTGTGAATAATAGTTGTCTAATATTTCATACTATAGAGCACAATATATTATCAATATGTTAAAATTGCAGAATATTACTCTATTCTGCAACTCTTACTGATAGTATTCTATAGGAAATACGGAACAAATAATACTTCACTCATGGTCGAAATTCGACAATAATTAATTAAATTATTAAGTTTAATATTAAGAAATTTCAATTTGTGCTGCACATTAAAACAGATATCTCGTATACAAAATATAACTTTTGAAAAACGAACATTTGAAATCGTACAAAATTAAGTACCAATTATTTTTGTTGGCAACATTTTAAAATTCTTTGGCGACAATCTCTACTCTGTGCGACTCTTTGACCACAGACTATTATGTGTTTGATATTGGCAATGTTAACGTAACAATGAATGTTTTTTTATTTATTTCATTTAATGTATTTTGTAACACATATTACATATCAATTTTAGCTTTCAAACTTTATAGCTAAAAAACTTCAATTATGCCTAATCTCACACTTCTTTGTGTGTGCAATATTCTTAAATGGAGGGTACTACAAAGTTTTCTCTTCACGTTTCAATATACAGATAACACAATATGAAGTATAACAGTTCAATATTTAAAAATATTAATGAATATTGTATCTCTTAATATTTCAGTTACGAAATCAGTAAATTTATCGCTAATTAGCTATTAGGTATTTGGAATTTGTTTCTATATTCTAAAGCAAGTACAAATTCAGGGCTTGTATAGCATTATGTAAAGTAACGGAAGCCACACATTCAATGTTTACTTATTCTGTACCTGTTGAAGAACGGAGACTGTAGGTTGTTAAAAAGTGAGTGCGGGTGTTGCGAAAAGCCGGGACCATCCTCGCCGTTCAAACGCTGAGTTAACGCACGCACCTGAAATAGAATAGAATAGGAATAGCATTATTTTTTATTCAATATACTAGATGACCTTTTTTACCGTCTGGAAAAAATAAGGTATAACAGGTGAATGGAGTGGAAGCCTATGACACTGATATTATACCAAAAATAAAAACTAAAATTTGGAATTACAAATACATTATTTTCGTATTTACGAGTATGTGCACATGCTATAAGTATTATATTATGTTAGATTGTGTAACTATTGACCTTTATTGGTTTAATTTTACAGTTTGAACTTCTACTATTATATAAACATTCGTATTCTAGATACTCCTGTACAAATTTATACGTGATATCTTCCGTCCATTTTAATTAAAACTCAATATAAAACGTATAAATATTCAATAAACAGTATCGTACAAACTTTGTAGCGAGTTTATTTATAAAAGTACAATTGTACGTTTTGGCGCGCAAACGTTGCGTCCTGTCAACTTATGCACAGTGCATAGTTGAGCACTAAACTCGCTTGTTTACACGAACGGCGAGTTTAGTTGCGGGTGGCGGGAGTCGCGCGGGAGGACAGCACTTCGCACTTAACTCGCCGAAAAATAGCTCGGCCGGCAATCCCGTTCAACTTAATCGTTAACTTGATACTTAACTCGCTTATTGCCGTTCAAACGAGGTTCAAACTTAACTCGCCAGGTTCGCAAGTTAACTCGCGACTGTACTTGTCGAAGTGTAAATCGGTCTTTAGAGGTGTATGTAAAACGTTTTGTTGGTAAGTAGATGCTATGGTCCATAGAGACCTACATTTGATCTCGATTAAGAATCAAAATACGGATGAGTTATTACGCTTGAAGACTAAGATGAAATGCCTCGATTCCAGTAAAACGGGTCTCCGGTTCTTTACACTCACCATACGAAACACAGGTCGAGTCGACCAATTCGTGCTACAACCATAATATAGCCGCAGCGTGGCTCTACCACGTATAAACGTATCGTAATGTAGTCAATAATCTTCCTACGTGTGCACAAAAGCTTGAAACACAGCGAAACCCATCTACTGTGGAAGAAGCCCACTTTCAGCAGTGCAAATAAAGATCTGAAGGAACTTTTATTTGCACATTCTTTACTGAATTTTAAAGTGAAATTACTTAACTTAGGTTTGTTTTTAAGTAAAATCATCAACATCATTCGGGTGGCGATCGGACTTTAAACCATACAAACATATTCCCCCGTTTTTTCCATAGATAATGACAGTAGAGCAATTTCCAACTACTTCTGGGCCAGGCCTCCGCTCACTTCTGAGAAGGTTTTAGAGCAAGGAATTGTCCGCCACGCAGCCCCAATGCGTGTTGGCGAACTTCACAGGTCTTCGAAATATTTTTTTCTTAATTCTCAGACATGCAGGTTTCCTCACTGTATTTTTCTTCACCGCCGAGCACGTGGTAAATAAGCACTTAAAATTGCAATTAACAATTTCATTCGTGCCGGCGGGGATCGAACCCGGTTTGCTCGCGTGAAATTTACAGCGAACACTACCTTCTTGTAATAGTTAATAGTTTCTTTCAACCCCGATATTCTTAAGATTTTAATACAATAGTGTACACAGTTCATTTAATACCATTTATTATTTTATCAACATTAATATCAAAACCAATAGTCATTAAAATTATTTATCGCATATTAAGTAATATATAATATGCATATAACAGTAATAACAAAAAGTAGTTTATGATAGTCTGTCTCAATAAAGAAGTCCCGCGGAAAAAATGTAACGCTTTGAATGTGACTGATATCAAATTTCGCGCAGACAGTGGCGCCGCGGCTAAGGGACTGCCAAAAGACTGTCAATAAACACAATTTGTAATGGCTGCACGTGTGCTATTTATAATTTTTTAAACTTTTACATTTAACAATAGAAATAAAGATAAAATTAAAAAAAGAACAGGCTAGTACCATGAGAACCATCTATATAAAATATTTAGTAACTTATAAAGTTCACCAAAATATGTTCTTTTTTAAATATGTTCCCCCACGGTAACAGGCAGCAAACATAAGAAAACTTACCCTATGCAAGAGCGTGGAAAACAAATTCTCTGCGGTGAGAAGGTGGAAGCCTTCGTCTTCTTCGTCTTCTTCACCTGAGCTTACAGATTCAGCGCGGGCTGCTCGGCTCGACCTTCATAAAATTTAATAGAATAACATTAATTGTTTACCATATTGTATAAAAAATGCTACATATAAAATATACAAACCCAAGACTTTTGTCTGGTTTTTGTTTGGGTTTGGTATTGCGATTACGAAACCGTCTTCCAAGTGCTTTGATAACAATAACTCTTTTCAGCTATGAAAAATACCTAGATAGTTCTGTTCACTACTGCACATGGACGTACAGTAAGTAAACATAACTATCTATGGATCAACCAGCGATCCTTGAAGGCTTCGCACGGGCAATTTATGGATCTCGACAACAGCGCCACCTACCGCGTACAACTATGGCTAGGAATTATTAGGTGACCCCACAAAAATTCAACAAAATCGGTTAAGTGGTTTAGGTGGAGATGAATTCCTAACACACGTACATCGGAATTTTTCATATAAAATGTACTATGCTATTTATACAATCACGTGTGTCAGTTTATCTACAAACCTATGATGTTTTTAGAAAAATGCCCAATTAGACTACTATAAAATTTAAACTGATATTGCTACTACGAGGGCTAAAAACTGGAAAAAAAAACCTCAATCTTTGTTTCATAATTATTTTTACTATATAAACAAATATGTCAGTTTAGTTTCAGTTCCGAATAATTAGCTGGATATTTTTCGGTCGCAATAATTCATTACCTATATTTTTAAGTAAAAAATCTCTAAAATTACTAATATATAAAAATATCTTAATAAAATAAATAATAAAATAAAATAAAGTAATTCAAACATGTAAATGGCAAAATAATATTTATTATTTAGTGCTACCGAAATATTATGCCACAGAAATATCTATATTTACCTTAGCCTATGCATATGAGTGTCGTCTTCTTCTTCAGATTCACCTCCACTGACAAGACTACTGTAACATAAATAAAATATCATTTTAGGGAGATGAAGTAGGCAGCAAGATGTTCTCCAAAAACGTCCTCAGCCTCCCAATGAAAAATTATGAACTCTACATGTCACATCAAGACAAAAATATAAAAAATATATATATTTACTATTAGATGATTACAAGTTGATTATGTATGATAAAGCGCCACAAAAAGAGTATCTTCCATCACTTGTAGGACGTCTTTTCTACCTAATGACACCTAGACCATTTGTCCTAATCGCCACCCTCTTATTTTCTACTGCCAACCAGTAGTACTTCCGCTGCTGTACTCCGGTTCGAAGGGTGAGGGAGCCAGTATAATTACAGGCTGTGAGCCACTATCTTAACTTCCAGAACTGGCCACCCATCTGCAGCCTCCATTCCAAGCAATTATTGCAATAGCCGTTTACTATGAGGTCGATTGTTAGTTCGTTTCCATTCTACAAAAAAGAGAATTTTCACAGCGCTATTTATGTATTTATTTGTTTATTGTAGCAAATGAATAGTAATTTAGTATACATGAATATTACGCACCATACTTACTAAAACAGAATTAATTATCTTACTTATTTTTTGTCAAACTCAAGTTACGATTGTATTGGTTTGACAGTTTTTACGTCCGATTATGATTCAAATCTGCAGTTATTAAATATACGACCTCCTGTAAGCACAGTATGTAACTACGCACGCAAGTGAAATAAACTATACTTTTATAATTTTATTACCAAAAAATAAGTGTGATTTCTGGAGTTAATGTTAAACTAATAAACAAAATAGAATAGAAAATGAATAAAAATAAATTGAGTGATATTTTTCAAAATTAAAATTTTTGTCATACCTTGCAAAAGCACGCATGTTACGTTCTAGTAACCTTTCATTCGCACCGTGCTACAACGCTAAGACGTTAAGACGCTAAGACGCGTAAACGCGACTACTGATCATGTTGTCCCAGATCGAAAACAAAACAGTTATTGAGTTTTCTGTCCAGAAATTTTCAGTAGCGCGAAAAGCTATTGGTCCTACTATGATCTCTCTCTCTCCGGTCGTGACGGTATTGCCGTCCTATCGGACTGTGAGAGTGAGGAAATAGAGAGTGCACCTGTGTGTGTGCGTGCGCATACTCTCGGGCAACCGTGTCCTGAGCAGGTGGCTAGTCTCTGTTGAGGATGGCTGTCGTGACGAAAATTCAAAAGTCTGGAGGACATTATTATTATTAATACTTGTGGACGCCTATGGGTCGAATTTCGACAGTAATTCATTAAATTTGTAGGGTATATTAGCTTTTTTTTTGCATGAAATGTACTAGAGAATACACATTATTAAAAAAGGAACAATTAAAGTCATACAAAATTCAAAGCTCATTTAGTCAAACTGGCAGAAATTATTCGTTGGTAACATTTTAAAATTCTTTGGCGTCAATCTTTACTCTGTGCCACTGTTTGACTACAGAATATTATGAGTTTGATAATGGCCTCAGATTAATAACATATATTTAGACTTGTACTTACTCTGAGACTTTGGCACTATGAACGTAAACGAACATAATTTGTCCAAGCGACAATTATGTTTTTTTATATTGACATTAATTAACGTGAACAATGCGCTTTTTAATTTAATGTATTTGAAATATGTATTATAAATAAATTTTAGCTTTCTTAAAGACTTTGCTAAATCTCACCAAACCCCGAGCGGGCAATATGATGAAAAAGAGGTACAAAGTTTTCACTTGACTTGTTAATGTATACGTGGATCAGTGTGCGTGACACCTGATGCGGCGCGGCTTGTGCGCGTTGTGCACGCGCGGTCGGCGCTCGGGCTCGAGGCTGCGCTGGCGCGGCGTCACGTAGCCCTTGCCGTGTTAATATATACGTGGATCAGTGTGCGTGAGACCTGATGCGGCGCGGCTTGTGCGCGTTGTGCACGCGCGCTCGACGTTCGGGCTCGAGGCTGCGCTGGCGCGGCGTCACGTAGCCCTTGCCGTGTGAATATATACGTGGATCAGTGTGCGTGAGACCTGATGCGGCGCGGCTTGTGCGCGTTGTGCACGCGCGCTCGACGTTCGGGCTCGAGGCTGCGCTGGCGCGGCGTCACGTAGCCCTTGCCGTGTGAATACATACGTAGATCAGTGTGCGTGAGACCTGATGCGGCGCGGCTTGTGCGCGTTGTGCACGCGCGCTCGACGTTCGGGCTCGAGGCTGCGCTGGCGCGGCGTCACGTAGCTCTTGCCGTGTGAATATATACGTGGATCAGTGTGCGTGAGACCTGATGCGGCGCGGCTTGTGCGCGTTGTGCACGCGCGCTCGGCGCTCGGGCTCGAGGCTGCGCTGGCGCGGCGTCACGTAGCTCTTGCCGTGTTAATATATACGTGGATCAGTGTGCGTGAGATCTGATGCGGCGCGGCTTGTGCGCGTTGTGCACGCGCGCTCGGCGCTCGGGCTCGAGGCTGCGCTGGCGCGGCGTCACGTAGCTCTTGCCGTGTTAATATATACGTGGATCAGTGTGCGTGAGACCTGATGCGGCGCGGCTTGTGCGCGTTGTGCACGCGCGCTCGGCGCTCGGGCTCGAGGCTGCGCTGGCGCGGCGTCACGTAGCCCTTGCCGTGTGAATATATACGTGGATCAGTGTGCGTGAGACCTGATGCGGCGCGGCTTGTGCGCGTTGTGCACGCGCGCTCGACGTTCGGGCTCGAGGCTGCGCTGGCGCGGCGGCACGTAGCGCTTGCCGTGTGAATATATACGTGGATCAGTGTGCGTGAGACCTGATGCGGCGCGGCTTGTGCGCGTTGTGCACGCGCGCTCGGCGTTCGGGCTCGAGGCTGCGCTGGCGCGGCGTCACGTAGCCCTTGCCGTGTGAATATATACGTGGATCAGTGTGCGTGAGACCTGATGCGGCGCGGCTTGTGCGCGTTGTGCACGCGCGCTCGACGTTCGGGCTCGAGGCTGCGCTGGCGCGACGTCACGTAGCCCTTGCCGTGTGAATATATACGTGGATCAGTGTGCGTGAGACCTGATGCGGCGCGGCTTGTGCACGTTGTGCACGCGCGCTCGACGTTCGGGCTCGAGGCTGCGCTGGCGCGGCGTCACGTAGCCCTTGCCGTGTGAATATATACGTGGATCAGTGTGCGTGAGACCTGATGCGGCGCGGCTTGTGCGCGTTGTGCACGCGCGCTCGACGTTCGGGCTCGAGGCTGCGCTGGCGCGGCGTCACGTAGCCCTTGCCGTGTGAATATATACGTGGATCAGTGTGCGTGAGACCTGATGCGGCGCGGCTTGTGCGCGTTGTGCACGCGCGCTCGACGTTCGGGCTCGAGGCTGCGCTGGCGCGGCGTCACGTAGCCCGTGCCGTGTGAATACATACGTGGATCAGTGTGCGTGAGACCTGATGCGGCGCGGCTTGTGCGCGTTGTGCACGCGCGCTCGACGTTCGGGCTCGAGGCTGCGCTGGCGCGGCGTCACGTAGCTCTTGCCGTGTTAATATATACGTGGATCAGTGTGCGTGAGACCTGATGCGGCGCGGCTTGTGCGCGTTGTGCACGCGCGCTCGGCGCTCGGGCTCGAGGCTGCGCTGGCGCGGCGTCACGTAGCTCTTGCCGTGTTAATATATACGTGGATCAGTGTGCGTGAGATCTGATGCGGCGCGGCTTGTGCGCGTTGTGCACGCGCGCTCGGCGCTCGGGCTCGAGGCTGCGCTGGCGCGGCGTCACGTAGCTCTTGCCGTGTGAATATATACGTGGATCAGTGTGCGTGAGACCTGATGCGGCGCGGCTTGTGCGCGTTGTGCACGCGCGCTCGGCGCTCGGGCTCGAGGCTGCGCTGGCGCGGCGTCACGTAGCCCTTGCCGTGTTAATATATACGTGGATCAGTGTGCGTGAGACCTGATGCGGCGCGGCTTGTGCGCGTTGTGCACGCGCGCTCGACGTTCGGGCTCGAGGCTGCGCTGGCGCGGCGTCACGTAGCCCTTGCCGTGTGAATATATACGTGGATCAGTGTGCGTGAGACCTGATGCGGCGCGGCTTGTGCGCGTTGTGCACGCGCGCTCGGCGCTCGGGCTCGAGGCTGCGCTGGCGCGGCGTCACGTAGCCCTTGCCGTGTGAATATATACGTGGATCAGTGTGCGTGAGACCTGATGCGGCGCGGCTTGTGCGCGTTGTGCACGCGCGCTCGACGTTCGGGCTCGAGGCTGCGCTGGCGCGGCGTCACGTAGCCCTTGCCGTGTGAATATATACGTGGATCAGTGTGCGTGAGACCTGATGCGGCGCGGCTTGTGCGCGTTGTGCACGCGCGCTTGGCGCTCGGGCTCGAGGCTGCGCTGGCGCGGCGTCACGTAGCCCTTGCCGTGTGAATATATACGTGGATCAGTGTGCGTGAGACCTGATGCGGCGCGGCTTGTGCGCGTTGTGCACGCGCGCTCGACGTTCGGGCTCGAGGCTGCGCTGGCGCGGCGTCACGTAGCCCTTGCCGTGTGAATATATACGTGGATCAGTGTGCGTGAGACCTGATGCGGCGCGGCTTGTGCGCGTTGTGCACGCGCGCTCGACGTTCGGGCTCGAGGCTGCGCTGGCGCGGCGTCACGTAGCCCTTGCCGTGTGAATATATACGTGGATCAGTGTGCGTGAGACCTGATGCGGCGCGGCTTGTGCGCGTGGTGCACGCGCGTTCGACGTTCGGGCTCGAGGCTGCGCTGGCGCGGCGTCACGTAGCCCTTGCCCTCCACGGCGATGGGGATGATGAACTCGCGCGCGGACTTCTTGATCGGCTCGCCTGGGCTGCTGCATGTTTCGCTCGTTGGAGATTCCGTAGACGCCAGTCGTCTGCGAGTCAACGAGTAATGTAGCTGATGCTTTGTTTTAAGCCTTACATTATTAAAAGGTGGATAATTAATTAGAACTCAATAAATACTGATTACATACTTATAGATTTTTTATATAAAATAACGGTGACAAACGAGTACAAAGTTCACCCGATAGTAAGTGGATGCTGTGGCCCATGAAAGACATCTACATACCTCAAATACGAATCAAAATGCAGATGCATTGTTACCCCTGAGGACTAAAATGGAACGCCTACTTTCCAGTAAAAAGTTCTCTACACTTACCATACGAAACACAACACCATTAAGATGCTATTTTAAACTGGTGTACGTGATCACATGGTAATAGGGAGGCTATTTGTGCTACAACCAAAATATATTGTAGCATGGTTCTACCACGTGTAATAACTAGCGAAACATAGACACAAACACTAGTCATCACCATCCATTGATATTGTTACGTGCCTAAGTCGACGGCACTAGCGCCATCTAGTGTCAGAGACGAGAGCGAGGGTAGTTTTCCAGAAAATGACATCACTAATCTTTCAACCGACAGCGCCATCTAGTCTCGAACCGAAGAACTAAGCTTCTAGAAGTTGAAACTCGAACTCTCGGTACCTTGCGCGTGTTTACTTGAATATTCTGGATATTTCGGTGCTAATTTATATTTATAGGCGCTGCAAGATGCGATCGGGGAAGTATTGAATTTGGCGAGACAAGCGAAGCTTCGGAGCGAAATAAAGTGAATCAGTGTGATTAATTATTGGTGTTTTAAGTTTTAATTAGTGTAAAGAAAATTAGTGTTAATTTAGGTAATTCTATCGGCAATTTTTATTGTCACGAACCTCAAGCTCGTAACAATATCTATGATAATGTCGAGTAGCCAAAAAATGTTTGTTTTATCCACTTGACTTATAATACATAATATGCGCACACATTGCAGTGTACTTCGTACAATTACTGTAACTTTTACAAAGGATACGGGTGCGTGCCTGATCGGTAATAGATCTTATGTTGTTATATTCTTTTTTTATATTTGATCAGCCAACTACACAACGTAAAAAGTGTATCAAATTCAAAAAGATTTACGCTTAGACTGACTGTGATGCCGCGACTAAGGAACATCTTTTATGACAAAGACTTTTATCAACACCTGAGGCCATAAATAAACCATATTTTATACTAAGACCGTGAGGTTTTCTTTTAATCATACAAATAGGTACTATATATTAAAAAAATCACAATACTTCAATTTCAAAAGCCAAAAGTGGATTTTACATGTACATCGCTGTGCTGTATATAGAATGGTTCGGAATTAATGCACGGAGCGTTGCGCTCCCCGGGCAGAACATTTTGCCGGACGGGAGATCTCCCTTTTTCCTCCCACGGGCCACATCTTTATCTTCTATATCTTATATAAAAAAAAACGTCACCGTCACATTGAGAATTTCTAGTTCTGTGTCATGTAGACGTTTTATATAAATAAATTTCAAATCGACAAACAAAGTCCAACCCTGGAATAACAGTAATAGAATAATTGGGACTTTGCTAAGTTCTGGTAGGTAGGTATTAAACCATCAATTTTACTATCTGATTTAAAAAAGTACTTTTTAATACGCTTCAATGAATTTGGAAAAATATGTGGTGCAATGCAAGAATTGAATTTTTTTAAATTCAGAATTTGAGTAGTGTTAAAAGTTTTAGTCTAGCGTCCTACATTTTTGGAAGCTATTATAGCATTTATCAACACCTGACTTTAGGGAGGCAACAGCCATTTGCCCCTTGTCATACATTACAGGATATGTCAAAGATGAAAACATTTGTATTGTGAATGGTGAAGAATATTTCGCTGTTTCGAGGTAGTGGTGATGTTGTATGTAAATGTGGTAGTGCACACTATTGACAAATTTAGTCTCATTTTTATGATGACTTCGCAAGTTTAACTCTTACATAGACAAGGATCACATAATATGAACATCGGAGTTGAGGAGCAAATTGGTGTACCGAACATTGGTTCATACCTTAGCGGCGTGTGGGTGCGCGGCGGTGTTGGTGCTGCGGGGGCGGAGGCGGGTGCGGGTGCGGGGCCGGGCCGGGGCGGCGGCGACGCGGCCGCGTCCTCCGCCGCCATGTGGATGGGGATGATGCGCTCCACCGACACGCCCCTAACAGTAAATTAACATATCAACTTAGTCTATCAAACTTTCGCTTAAGCATCGCAGGCCGTTATTTTTAAAGTGGATAATGAAATCTGGTCATTAAAATTGATGAAAGTAGTCTAGTTTGATTTATTTTAATATATTGAATTTTCTTTTCTCCTTGATTTTTTTTCTTCCTATAATTCACACATACTATCGTGTTTCTACTTGCTTGTTAGACACGATTACAAAATATTATTATGACAAATGGTAATAATATCCGTTAAGCCTCTGCTGAACATAGGCCTCCTCCATAGATTGCCCCATAAAAAGATTTGTCATAGTTGCCATGATTGGTAAGTGGATTGGTAACCGCAGTTTTTTATTTTGTCCCTATTAGGAAGACGCTATTGCTTATCTCCTCATATCAATTAATTGATATAAACAAGCATGTTATACAAAAAGGAAAATCAATTAACTATTTAGAAAAAACGAAAATCGATTTATGAGCGTTTTTAAATCTGCCCTTCGGTGCGGTAGAAGCGTGCGTGCGTGCGTACCTGTGGCGGTGGTCGTCGACGCGGTGCTGTGCCTCGGTGCGGTAAAGGCGCGGCGCAGGCGGCGCGGCGGGCGGTGTGCCCGGCGGGGACGACAGCGACGTCACGCCCGCCGACGAAGACCGCCCGTAAGGCATCGGCGGCTTACCTATACAAATAAGGCTCTTTTACTTTTCTAATCCGTATTAAAATTAAGTGGTCAGTACATTGAAGTGATATGTATTACGTACTAGAACAGACACCAAGACTTATTTGCTTATAACACATGTTAGACACCGCGGACTCTAACTCAATAAGACTGTAGGCAGGCAGGCGCTTTTCGCAATGTGACACGTTTGCTTACATACATACTGAGGTGCGGTAAAATCATAAAAAAAGATTAAGGCCAGGAAGTGACGTTTTGCACATTATTTAATTGCATGCAACGCATAACAATACTGATCCACTCAGCAGCACTGAAAAAATGCTGACACTGCTGCAAAATGTATTTTTCTCCACTCTTCTTAAGTGAGTACAAAGTAAACAAGAGTGGAGAAAAAAATCTTACATGATTTTTAACGAGATGGGGAATGGGCAATATTGTTGAAAATGTATTCGTGTGGTCCCTGAGGACTGCAGACGGCATGGACAACAATGTACCCGTCACACATGTTATAATTTAGAGTGTTTGAATAATGCAAATTCTACTACTATGTGATTCACGGATGTTAGAAATTCATATTGCTTCGTTTAATTTAATCAATAATCTTAAGCATGTCAATGCACTATAAAGCTAAGACAAATGTGACCCTATAATTATGACATAATATTGTAATGTGTAATTATTACTACATAAGCAAAATAAAGGATTTTTTAAATAACAATATTTAAAGAAAATATTTATTTTTAAGTATTTTTAAGTTAAGTACAAACTTATAATTAATTACCAATGCAAACATCTAAGTAGTAAATTTGCTATTTTATGAATTTATAGAAAAATGGCCGCGATGTAGCCACGAGTGACAATAATACATAGTAATTTATCAAAAATTTATCAAGAATACATGGGAAGTGCAAAAAGTTACTTCTTGATCTTTACTTTTTTCCAAGTCGTTTACACAGCACCCAGTGCGAATGAAGACGCATATCCTTTCGCCACGGTGGAAAATATTTGACATTAATTCGCCATCGATACGCTAAAAAAAATATGATGATGAACCATGTCTACTCAATACTGCAGTAAGCCTAAATAATTAGTAAGGTGAATTAGTAATAAGCAGACATGATGGCTAAGTCCATGCTATCCATGGGATTTTTTTAAAATAAGCCACTAATCAATACGGGCAATGTGACTACCACTACAAGGAGTGACCATTTGATACAAGCATCTAAGGACCTTGGTTTATAGGAATTTGTTTTGAGAACTTTATCAGTATGATTTATTTCAAATAGAGAAATTGATTAAGACACCGTTTTAGAGAAAAGCACTATACATTTGCTTATGTATTTTGTAACGTTTGTGAATTAAAAATACCAGATTTGCCCCATTTTAAAATGACTGTACAATACAACTTTTGTTATTTATTATTGCGGCCCGTCCCTGCGCTAACGACCTTGTATGTGTGGGCAGGGCAGAACTGCACCACCCGCACCTATTAGGCCGGCCACATACATACGGAATTTCATTTCGGGATTCCGTTTCGGAATTCCGAACGTAGAAAGTCTATATAAAATCCAGGACCAGTCACACATTTACGGTAGTTTCCGTTCAAAATTTTGAGGGGAAAAACGGTATTACGCATGTGTGGGTCGGCTACACCCATTCGGAATCTCGAAACGGAATTCGGAAACGCAATTCCCTATGTATGTGGGCGGCCTTAAATCGCTATATTTTATAAAAAAGACTAATAATTCTTAAAAATTATTTTCAAAAAAAAATTCCAGTATCTAAAATATAATTTTTATCATTTTGAATAATAACCAGAATATTAGATTTTGATATTTTACGAAGCAATTAGTTATTAGCAGATTAATAAACATTAATTAATGAAAATCTACTACGATGAAAAATAACTGAAAGAACGTAACCTTTTCTCCTATTTTGTTACAAGCTGAAGGATATTTTAATAAAAATATTGAATTAGATCGATACGTGAAGTTTAGTGTGAAGATTACTTCCATACCAGTGCGAATGGCAGATGAAATAATATCGCGTGCTGCACGCCTGCGACTTTCCTCACCCGCTTTCTCCTCTACTAGCTTCGCCATTGAGTTCTGGAGACTTCTGCAATTAAAATATTTATTTAATAATTGCATACTGACAAATAGTTTAGAAATATTTATTCTAGCCGTGTGGTGGCGAAGTAAGAGAATGCATTACCCAATTTCGTCCCGTGGGTGTCGTAAGAGCCGACTATAAGAAATAGCTGTAAAATTTTATGGCTTCGATAAACTTCTGGATTCAATTTTAACCATTTCATTTACCAATGGGGAAATGGGTTCTCGAGTAGCAGCCTCGTACAGAGAAGTATAAGGTCCACTAGATGAAGTGACAACCTGCTAAGAGCAGGAAGAAGTGTCCATGTGAAGCAATAAATAACAGTTCAAAAACCCTCTAGCTACGAGAAACAGCTACATGAAATGAACTTAGCAGTTGTCGACGGTGTGAAGTGTGCTGCTAAACTGCTCAGTAGCTCTTAAATTCAAAATAAGTTTATTTAATAAATATAACCTCGAAAAAGTCGTCTATCCTACTAATTTCGGCGCGTTCTTTAAAATTTACCCCGTAGCTATAGTGGCGCCGCTCTTATTTAACGGTTTTCTACGGACACTTTTTAATACACAGTCTATACTCCTTACCTTTATACTTGTAATGAGCTGTTATGATGATGGTACAATAGTGCTTAAAAAAACTATAAGGATAGACTAATAACGTGTATTCTAACATATTGCATAGCTAAAGCGAACAAACCAGCCCCCACAAACAGCACTTGTTCTCAAGAATGAAGTATGTGGCAGTCGCGTAATTTACGAACCACAAGACCAATGAGGCAGTTATATCACTTGTACTGACAAGGTAAGTGATATAAAGTGACATTAATAATACAAGTGGTATCATGAGCACAAGGTATGCAATTATAAACCAATAATAACTAGTTGCAGTGCTAGTGAGGCCGCATTCGAGACTAAGGTGCTGATAACAAGTTAAAATATCCAATTTTTTAGTCAAATTTAAGAGTAGAAATTACGAAAAACGCGGAATTAGGTTTCCTCGTTAAAATTATGTTTTCCGTTCGTTGATTGAAATAACAATCATTTGGTAAAATAATTCGTTTTCTCTACCACAATAAGCCCAAGGCAAATTTTAGATAACTTATTTATGTATTTAGTAATAATCATTCTCCCGATGCATGTTTAGGCCAAAACTCTGATTGATATGATTTGGGAGCTCTAATTTGTAGATCCTATTGAATATCGACCATCAAAAAATATTTATTACTCTCAAATATCCTATATTTTAATAATGATAAAATACATTTTCGTTATGTGCCTTTCACGTAAGGCAAAAAAATCGACGTGATTCAATTAACGACCGAAAAAGCTTCGATACGAGCCCAATATCTCCGAAGTTTGTTATCATCAACATTTGATTAAACTATACTATGATTTTTACTTTTTAGATCGTTACTATTATTTTTTAATTAATTAAATAAAAGTACCATATATTTCTCTGCGTCGGCCATCTGAATTCACTAGAGCGCGAGCGCTTACCTGTGTCAGTTTATTTCGCGCGCTCCGTCTCGTTTCGATATTATCGTAGTGTGCGTCGATTGCCGTTATAGGCGCTGCTATTTTGGCCTGTGTTCCGAAATAGAACTCAACTACGATCGCAGTTTTTGATCGTTGGAAGTATTTACTTTCGTACAGTATATTTCAATTAGTATAAAGTTCGCACAATATTATTATACCACATAGTGAACTCATTATAGTTATTTTGATTATAACTGAGCTTTCTTACCAGTTGGAATTGGGGAAAAATAAATACAAGTATCAATGTGTTACTAAACTTAAAAAAAGAAATATCCTATCTTTGGAGAAATAATAATGGTAAATTAAAATGTATGCATGCTTGCTTTACGGACTTGCCCAGATTATGCAGTAAAAGTAATAAAAATCTACAAAGTCGACATTTTTTTTTTGCGTTTTATAAAAAGTGTGTACTGTCTGAAATTATTGACTCGAGATAAGCTCGGTCAATGCCGTTGCGGCACATAGTTTTATAATAAAAACATATGGTAATTGACTGTAAGTACCGATTAAAAATATTAGTTACAGTTGGTTATTTTATTTATTAAAACAGGTTGCAACTGTACTATTAATTTATTTATTCCACTATGCTACCATTAGTAGATATAATCCATTATTAACCAACACCAGTTAACAATCGATTACTGCGAAATAATCAAAATATTTATGTGTGCTTATTCAACACTAAGGTTCATAAATAATGAAAATTGTATCAAATAGATTATAATAAATTAATTAGATAACATAAAAATGACACACCGAAAATTTTCCATCCATTAAACTCCATCGTAAGTAAACTATACAAGTTTACTTACGATGGAGTTTGGATTACGATGGAATGGAAGATCAAGATCGTTTAGTCGCTATACTCACAGTATCATAGTGCAAGCGAGTGAATAGATAGATAGATATTATTGTTGCAAGCCATAATTGATGCTCCTAGTGCCATCTGGTGTCGGGGAGCAGAGCGAGGAGAGCTTTCTAGAAAATGTCATGCCTGAACTTTCCACCAACAGCGCCATCTAGTATCGAATAGAAGATTTTTTTTTAAATTCTAGAAAAATCCACACTTGAATTTTCTACATCTAGTCGGTCGGGACCGGTATTTGCTGGAACATTCTAGATGTTTCAGTGGAAAAGGCCTATATAAAGCCGTTTAATGCCGCGACCGGGGCAGTATTGAATTGGCGATACAAACGAAGCTTCGGGGCGAAATAAAGTGAACTAAAGTGATCAGTGAGATTAATTATTAGCGTCTTTTAAGTTTTAATTGGTGTTCGGTAATTAAAGGGTTAATTTTTGTAATTCAATCGGCAGTTTTTATTGTCACGAACCCTAAGCTCGTAACATTATTAAATATTATCGCTCGCGTAGGTCGTCGCCCGCTCGGAGCGTAAAGTAACTAAAATTGCGTAACGTCTGCTCTTAATGATGTCCACTTGGCAAATGCGCCATGACACATTTGATAGTAATGAACCATGATATTATTTGAATTTTTTTTACAAATTAAAATTATTCTTTAAAATAACTTACCTTCTAGCATCCTGTAGAAGGACAGATGGATCAACCTGGGTCGTGTTATGCATCGGCTCGCTCTCGGTTTTCTTTACGCCGCTGCGATTTATTTCTCTTACTTCTTCAATTGGAGTCTGAAAAAATATAAAATTACCAGTCTCAATTTTTTTTCAATACAAAGCCACTCAACACGGTCCTAATTAATTGCATCTATCGACTTCCTGCATGTCTTACCAGTACGTCACTCGATCAAGTATGAGGCCGCCCTACACCTTGCTTACAGGTACGAGGCTGCCAGCCGAACCTTTCTTTCTCGTCGGTTTCCGACTCGTTGCTACTTCAGTTTACTGATCCGTTGGGCTGTGTCGATTACTCTCGTTCTACTGTGGATATCTTTATTACAAATTCTATCATGCAGATAAACTCTTGAGCATAGCCCTATACATAACTTGCTGAATGTTTTTAAACATACTTATACAGCCATAAGATTCACATTATGTCATCACTGGTAACATACTTGTTTTATACTCCTATTTTTGATTCTCTAAAACAGCGCTTCTACGTAACTAAGTGCATATAGTGCTGTTTTCGAGACTCAGAGAGAAAATCGGTTAGTAGTTCTTAAATAGACAGCAGTCACCTTTCTTGAAGAACAAGACCACCATACTTCCGCCACTCGCCTACAAAGTTACGTCACCATGGAGAACGGAATTAATATAATACAATGTCTTTCAATTATTTTAACTGGCATCATCTTTCAAGAATATATTTGTTAGAATTACCTGTGAAGGTTCAATTCCTATCTGTTGCAGTCTAACGGTGCCGTTGTCCGAAGATTTTCCTGATAACTCTCTGTCTTCACTTTGAGCCTTTGGCTTCGCAATCTTTGATACAACTGGAACAAGAATAGTTACGGTAATCGGCATTCTTTCCAGAACAGACAGAACAGATATTTTACATCTGGCATTTCCCTTAGCTGATTCTTAATAGAACCTTAGAACGTGGTGGGGTAAAAATTCTATCACGCCACCTCCAAACAGCGAGTTGTTTTTTGGAAACAGCAGTGTTTGCAGACAATTATTTCTATCTACTTGTTTTTAAAAATAACATTTATATGATAACATTACAATTTTTTTTTTATAGAATAAGGATGACAATCGAGCACACCTGATGGTAAGTGGATGCTGTTAAGAATCATAATTCAAATGCGTTGTAATCCCTGAGGACTAAGATGGAATGCCTCGTTTCCAGTACAAAGGATATCCGATTCTCTACACTCACAGTAAGAAATACAGCAGAACGAAGCTGTTATTTTATGCTGATATTTTATGTGAGCGTGGTCTTTTCACGGCCGAACTGACCGATTCCTGCTAAAACTATAATATACGTACCATTACCACATAGATTTATATACTATGCTAGTTCACGTCTCAGTAGAGCAGTAGCTTAGCGTTTGGCTGGCACCATAGAATACTATAATACATACACAATAGAACAGGGAAGTGGGCGAAGCCCGTGTAGCCACTAACATGTCAATTCACACGTATAAATGTCAACACAATCAATCGTATGGAGGTTAGAGAAAAGGAGAGAACGATCGCCGTAGAAAATAGTGTTCCATATTTCTGGACACCGTAAGTGAGGCGCTGCGATCGCCAAGTTCGTTCAATAAAGGTCATTTTCAGTCTATTTTTTCGATTAAATGCTAAATCACTTGCACATCCATGATCAATCGTTTCCAATTTTCGTGTCAGGCGTAGCTGCATGCAAATTATTAAAAAAATGGCAAATTGTGCAATAATTACGCGTCGAAAGAACAGCGGGAAATGGAATTTAAATAATGCAGACATATTCTACAACCAGTAAGTCGAAACTATTTGTATTTTGTGAATATTAGAAACAAAAATAAAGAATTATTGATGTACCAAAAACATTAAACAAGTCTAAAATGTGTTTGTAGTAGAGATAACTGATAATTGGACGTACTTGCTTGTATGTGTGCTCCCGGCGACGCCAATCCTCCTACAAAATAAGATTGACAGCCATTCTATTGTGTATTATAGTATTTTATGGCTGGCACAATACAGGACAAAATCTTCGTTGACAGGTAGTATTATTTAAAAAAATATTAAACTGAACTAACCCGGTTTGGAGACATTTCGTTTGATTTCCGGTGCTGCAGTCAACGATGCTCGTCTCTCGAACTGTTCTTTGAAGCTACCCACATGACCACCTAAACGAAAAAATACAAAAGCATGTCTCATTAAAAATAAACAATTTTAGTTTAAATCTGGATTAGGTATTAAATTTTAAATTTAATGTTTTCTTCTTCCTTGAGATCTGAGGTAGGTCATAAGCGCTCGCAATAATTTCGCGCGTCAACTGTCTTAGATTCCCGGCATCATCATTAAATTGTCAATTGCAATTTTAAGAGCCGATTTTTGAGCTTGAGATTTGAGCTCGGCGGAGAAGGATATTATAAAATATTTGTTATATAATATGTAAATTACACGCTATTATCTGTCCTAAAACCCTCCCAGAGACAAGGGAAGTAAGTGCCCAGCAGTGGAACGTATGAAAACTTTACTCTACTTTACTTCTTTATAGTGATATAGACCCAATGTTAGCTTTAACCCTAGCTTCTACAGGCCTATATTTGTATTACTTGGCAGACAGTAGTTAATCACAGTACTAAATGCATAAATAGTACTTGACTCCACGACAGTGGTATGTATTTTTGGATCAAGCAAGTTTTTCAGATATATTTGTTTTTTATAGGATAAAGGTGAGAATCGAGCACACAGTCCACCTGATGTGTGGTTGCTGTAGCCCATAGACATGTACATCTATTCTCGATTACAAATCAAAATGCAGATGCATTGTCACCCGTGAGGAGTAAAATGGAACGACTCGTTTCCAGTAAAAAGAGTCTCCGATTCTCTACACCTACTATACGAAACAAATAACGTTAAGCTCCTATTTTACGCGGGCGTTCTCTGAGAGCGTGGTCTTTCCCCGGTCGAGCCGACTCATTCGTTCTACAACTATACTACTAATATAGCTGCAGCATGGCCGTCCCACGTAAATTTATTCCGACATGTTAGAAAATGTGGACTGTCTTAAACATCTGTGCATATTATAAATTAATGCTATGGCTGATTTACAAACAGCGAGAAATTCATAGCCATATGGTGAATGCGTAAGAGAAACTATCAACCCATATCATCCAATGATTTGAAAAGAAAGAATATGACCATCTAAATATTTTACTCATAACTTCTTTGTACAAGAAAAAGTAGCGCATCTGTCTTAATGCAAACATCATAATACGACGTAATCAGTGTTGAATTTTGTAGTATAATTATCCTAATTGTACCATTGTTTCATAGTGTATAGTAATGTAGTATCGTAATAATACTGAGCGAAAATACCATATTTTTACTTTAAAGTCGACCGACTTGTACTATTATGGATCCTTGTATTATTATTAGATCCTTTTACTTTTTAATATAAACCCTATGCTATTGAGAATTTCTGTATTGTACACGAGTACTGCGTTTTTTTAATAAAATTAGCATTAGCTCCCCTGGTTGGTTCTTGGTTTCTGGTAAATCGGTCCTTGATCGATGCATTTATGTTGCATCCTTGATATATCTATAATGTGGGGTTACCACGATAAAACTCTATGCTCCAGAAGCAATTGGTTTGAAAACAGAATTTCAAAATATTTTATGAATCAGATTTCAAGTTTCAATTTAGTAGATATCGTTTCTTTTGTACTACTCGTACGTACTTTGTACACTTTTCGTTTTACCCTTATTGAATATAAAATATATTAGGTACCAATATTCAAAATTTAACTTACACTGAGTTCGTTAGACATATTTTTGAAGGTCTGAATCCAACCCTGGCCTAATCTTAACTAAACTAAACTGACTAACTGTAAAATAAAACTTTAAAAATGCGTATAAATAATAATTTAATTGTAACAAAATTAATATAACGTTATGTATTGATGATACGATATCCCATGTTCCCTTTTAATCTTTGTATTGTAATTTTTGCATCCTTTCACACGCAATTAGGCATATATATGACAGGCAAATCTGTCATGCGCGCGCATCACTATCGACCGAATCGCGTTGGCATCAAACTGTAATTTTAGGACCAGCGCACTGGTCCATTTTAGTTGCACGGACGGCCCAATGTCAATGATACCATACTATCGGAAGAAGGAACTATAGGAAAAACTAGAAAGATCTTATGGCCTCTTCAAAATAGTAGTATAACTATGTCGTATATAGCAGATATAATAAACTTAGATAGGCGATGGGGAGTGGCGTCATAGGTGTAAGACGTATTACGATACTTCAACCGCCAATCTATCCCACTAGTGGAGATACCCATGTCCAGCGGTAAACTATTACGAGATAATACTTATGATTTTTGACATTGTTCCGTATGTATTGTTCTGTACGTGTTGAAATTGACAAGCATTGCTTAATTTATTAACGTTTTTAACATTTTTATTTTCAAATGCTGACATTCATATTGTAATTTATATATTTATTTAATTGATTTTTATTATGTAACTAGCTTGTCAGGCAGACTTTGTTCTGCCCTTTCTGACGACTATCCAGTAAAAAATCCTTAAATTCGCATTAAAAAAAACTAAGCGTTACTTATCGGTTAAAAACCACCCTATCTCTCAATTGAAATAATACTAGTTTTTACGGAATTTATCGCGTATATTTAACTTTTTAAATACCCGACGTTTCGAACGCTTTACAGCACTCATGGTCACGGGCGGGACTGAGATGTTCATCGTCATGTATTTAAAAAGTTAAATATACGCGATAAATTCCGTAAAAACTAGTTTTATTTCAATGTGTAGTGTTCGCGTAAATATAAGAAACCTATCTCTCAAGTTGGAAAAACTGCATACAATGTGCAAAATTTCATTGAAATCAGTTTAGTAGTTTAGGAGTTTATCGCGGACTTTTAATATATATAGATATAATATGATTGCATGACGATAGCAAAATATTTGCTTATCGATAGATCGATTAAGAGGATATCTTGAAATTGAATCGAAGTTTTGGGGGCGTGGCTTATTCCTTTGTCGGTGAAGCTAACGGACGACTGAGGGAGTGTCAAAATGAAAGTGATGCAATGACTTCATAGTACGCAAATTAAGCGCTCGGAAAAAAAACTAAGTAAGCGCCAAACAACATTTTTATTTATTTTAACAAAACTTCGTTATGGAATAAAAAACTGGTTTATGAAAACTTAGATATGATTATTTACTATGCCTTAAAATAATTCCATGAACTTATTCGTAAGAATATTCTGGTGTCAAGGAAAAATGTAAATAATTAGAGCCTACTTTGCAATTTTTTTCTATCGAGAAAATTTCATGATATCGTGTTTTCCTTTTATGCAATCCAAGGTCATATAGTCAAAAATCATATACCAAAATTTTGGTTTGTAATCTATAAAACTTAAAAAAATATGTTAAATAGAAAAACCACCAAATTTTCGAGGTATCACCTTAAATATGAATGCTCGTTTACAAATGTAAGAATTTCACTACCTGTTTTATGCAAATAAAAATTTTAATAAATAAATAAACAGATAAATAAATTATATTTTGTGAATATTAGAAACAAAATAAAGAATTATTGATGTGTCAAAAACATTAAAGAAGTCTAAAATGTGTTTGTAGTAGAGATAACTGATAATTGGACGTACTTGCTTGTATGTGTGCTCCCGGCGACGCCAATCCTCCTACAAAATAAGATTGACAGCCATTCTATTGTGTATTATAGTATTTTATGGCTGGCACAATACAGGACAAAATCTTCGTTGACAGGCAGTATTATTTAAAAAGAAGGAAGAAAGAAAGGAAATTTGTGTCGTACCGATTGATAGTTTTTTCGGTTTTGCCGGGGCAGGCGTCGTGGCGGCGGGCACTTGTTGCGTCAAAGACAGCGAAGTCAATTTATCTGTAGCGGTGGCCACTGAAGCTGATTTTGGTTCGTCTATCTATAAATGACGAATTTTTTTAAATTAGTATTAATAATTAAGACAGAGTTTGGATCAGATTTCAAATAAAGCAGTTGTGTTTGTGTAAAGTGTTTGTTATGGTGACAAACGAGCATACAGTCCACCTGATGGTAAGTGGTTCTGTGGCCCGTAGACATCTACATCTATCCTCTATTACGAATTTTGATCAAAAATTCAATTCAAAATGCAGATGCGTTGTCACTCGTGGGGACTAAGATGTAATTCCTCGTCTCCAGTAAAAAGGGTCTCCGGTTCTCTACACTCACCATACGAAACACAGCAGCATTCAGCAACTATTTGACGCTGGTGTTCTGTGAGCGTGGTCTTTGGAATTAAAAAAAAAGCGAAATTGGGTCTACCTTCACATCATCCTGCTTCTCTGGTGATTCCTTCTCTTCTCCTTTAGGTGAAGTGATCTTTTTTTTGACTGTAACACGGGACTTGGTGATGTCCTCAGCTTCTTCTTCATTGGGTATTTGCTTAGAGATATCAACAGTAGCATCTTTGGCTAGTTCGACTGGTGCAGGTGCTATGGTGATTGTTGCTGACGATTTCAAAGAAGGTTGAAGCTGTAAAGTGTTAAAAGAATAGATTATTTAAAAATAAAACCTTCCTTTTTTATTGCGACGTATATTTCGAGTTTCGCCGTGTAGTGGAGTAAGACAATCCACTATTCCGTATCATTCCGTGGGTAACATAACTAGTTCTGACCATATAAAAGTAATCCGTGTCTGGTGGCTGTGTAAGATTAGTCACTACCCCATATCTTCTCGTGGGTGTCGTAAGAGGCGACGGAGGAAAACTGAGTCAGGATATGGGTAGCAGCATCTTTCTGATTACAGAAAAATAAAAATAAAAAACTACGGTTGCCAACCCGCTCACCAAGCATGCCAACCAGGGCAATAAACCCCTATGGCAAGTTACAAAGAAACGGCCCCCAGTTGCCAGCTGCCCCGCTATTCCTGTGTGTGGCGACCATGGTAACGGCAAGGCAGGCGGTGCTAAGAATCTACGTTGGAGGATCGGTTGCCACCTAAAACGACTGGACCTGGCAACATATAACGTACGCACCCTGAGGACTGACGAGTAGATCCTGGAGCTGGAGGAAGAGATAGACAAGCTGCGCTGAGATATTATAGGATTTTCTGAGGTCCGAAGAGAAAGGGAGGACACGGACATATGTATCACCGGGAGGGCGACGGATTTATCGTCCACAAATCTCTTGTTAACAACGTTGTAAAGATTGTGAGTGTATCGACGAGGGTTATACTCAGAATCACCAGACGGTATTCGCTGAAGGTCATACAGTTTTACGCAACAACCTAGGTACATCACGATGAGGAGGAAATGTGAGAGGATATCTCCTGAGTCATATATTCCACCAAAACCCACAATACGGTGATAATGGGAGATTTCAAGATAAAACGGTGAACGGAATTTAGGGGCAATGGAATCTAATGGGTCAGCAGCTGGCTGCCTTCATGAATAAAGAGGGACTCTTTATAATGAACTCTTTCTTCCAGAAGCGGCACCACAGAAAGTGGATATGGTCAAACCCCGACGATTCGACAAAAAATTAGGATGACTTCATTACGATGATTAGACAGCAATTATTCAGTGATGTCTCGATGATCGCAAGGGTGAAAGCTGGGAGCGATCACCAAATGGTGAGAGGCATACTAACCTAAACGTTAAGTTGTAGAGATCACGTCTAATGAAGTCAAGGCTTTGTCCCCCCTCGTGCTGTAATCAAAAGCCAATTTCCGAAAAGGTTTTAGCAACAAAGACCACTTACATACCCTTCGGAAAATTCTACTGAAGTTCGAGGAGTACAATCTGCCATTTTGTCTTGCGTAAGTGGACTATAAGAAAACCTTTGTTTCCGTTGAAATTTGGACTGCAGTCCCTTCAGCGGTACGAAGTTGACTGTCGGTATACCTATTGAAGTGCTGAAATGTTTGTACAGCAGGGTTACAATGGCTATCCAAGTACAGAACTAGAATAGAAAACCTATCAAACTGCAGATAGGTGTAAGACAGGATGATGTTACATCCAGTAAACTCTTCACCGCTGCATGAAGAAGAATGAACGGAAGATGTTTTTCAAGCTACTTTCTTTGTATGTTTGATTGGTCCTTATGGCAGAATCGCTGGAGGACCTAAGTACTCAATGAGCTAAATAATGCCTCCCAACGGATAGGTCTTAAGATGAACATGGACAAAACAAAGATCATTTGTAATGTCCATGTCACACCTATGCCGGTAGTTGTATGGAGCACTAAACTCGAAGTTGTTGACGAATGTGTTTATCTGGGACAAATGGTACAACTAATAGCCGATGTAGCCCAAAAGATTAGTAAGCTGAAGTGGCAATGGGTCGGCCATATAGCTCGAGAATTGACAATGGATGGGGAAGCAAGGTTCTCGAGTGGCAGCCTCGTACCGGTAGGCGAAGTTTGGGGCGGCTCCCCACTCGATGGAGTGACAACCTGGTAAGACATGTAGGAAGTCGATGGATGCTGGTGACTCAGCACTATGCTTAAGGGCTGTAATGATGATGATGATGATAATGTATAAACGTAACGTACTCTATTCTGTTCCAAAAATCTTTTCAGAATGAAAGGGACCTATGGTATGTTACTTAAAATGTGATACATGATTTTTTGATTTAATGCTTTGTTAAGCACTTAACATTTCACACTGTAGGATTTTCTCCTGTATCGTGAAGGCGTTTCACGAATTCCATCCATCCAGTCATACATTAGAAATAGAAATATTTAGCATTTAACGCAGACTAGATGTATACTATTAAATCGGCAATTCCGAACAACAACTTTGTCACAGCTGTGAATCGCACGGTCCCGGGCGCGGCGTGGGCGCTCCCGATTATCATGGTAAATATGCTGCGCAGTTATATTTTCATTTACGACAGTAACTGTTATTACGAAAAAATTTTACAAACCTATCAAAAATAAACAAATCACATTGATGCGCACGTAAACAATGACAGCGTTAGATTTTCGAAAACAACGTCCGCAGTATATAAAACACAAGGACTACGAGTAGTTATCTCGTCCGCTCGCAGTCGACTACAGAAATTACGAATAATTGACCGTAAATTAGTGCGCAATATATTAGTGCCTATTGCCCGTTTAGTAATATAAATAGAAGTGTTTTATTTGAAGGTAAACATAGAAGTAATCTCACCGGTTCAGCGGGCAGCGGTTCTTCAGCAGGCGGCGAGTCCGGGGAAGGTTCTTCGGGCAGCGCGGACGGCAACTGAGCGACGCTTGCGCAGCTGTGGGATACAAACCTTTAGGCTTTCCTATATGGCTATATTCACAAACTACGCGACTGCGATGCAAACTATACGCCACTTACTACGTATAGCCTTATGAGTCTATTATAGTCATTCATAACACTATTCAATAATAATAGTAATTATCTATATAAATATATATTAAAATAAAAATTTTTATATCACCCATGCACTGAAATGATAGTGAAATTTGAAGCTTCTTTATATACTTATTATATACTTATTGGTTGCGGGTGTACAATACAGCAGCTATTTACCTTGATTAGTTCACCTTAGACTGTAGGTTGGTTTGTCCCTTGCATATCATATTTTGAAAAAAAAAACTCATAAAACAATTTGAAAGAAAGGTCTTACAGTAACGTGTTTAGGTTATACTCTTACTATAGCTAGTCATTGATTTACTTATAGAAACGGACTGAATGGAGCGGGAAGACACCTCTGCGCTAGTCTAATGCGTTTTTACTAGAGATGGGCCGAATATGGATTTCACCGAATACGAATATACCTCTGAAAGTTCGGTGAAACTTTTACCGAACCGAATATTCAGCCGAACAATTCGGCAGGATCACCTCAGTACCTAACCAATTTATGTCGAAACTTGTTACCGTAAAGCGCGCTGGATTAGCGCGGACCCTGCCCCTCGCTCATCATCTAGTACTGAGCAGATTGCCGGCACATGCTTATGTTTTGACAATTTTTGTGAGAAAAAGTCTTTCGTTGTGTTATTCTTAGTGAAAATTCGTAATTATATTATAAAAATTAGTGGCAGGAGATCTACTATTTGGACTTATTTTAGAGAAACTGACGACCAAAATAAAGTGAAATGTACTAATAAAATATAACGTTTTTTTAAATGTTTTTCTATTTGATATAATTGGAAATAAATCTACAGTGCCTCAAAACATAACGCTATAGTTTAAATATTATAGATTTAAACCATAAATAAAATATACTTTCAACAGTAAATTTATGTAGTATTTAATAAGTAAATTATGAAAGACATGGCATTACTCAATTTGTACATTTCAATACAGTGGACACTTTGAGTAGCACTTTAACGAATGTTCAGTGATTTAGCTGAAAATTCGGCCGTATACGAATATTCGGTAAAGCTGCCGTATATGTCGAATACTGAATATGAAACGAATATTCGGCCCATCTCTAGTTTTTACGACCTTTACGTCATAGAAATACGATTACAGATATTATGTAGTTTTTTTCACGGGTAAGAAGTTTACTTACTTCACTTCGTTAGATGGCGGTATAACCATTTCGTTTATTGCGGATGTAAAATACCCATACTAACAACGGGGTCTGCTAATGCAATCGCATCTCTCAGAGTTGGTCCCAGAAACGCTAGACTTGACTTAAACTTATAAATACCTCGCTACTTTCTCCTTCTTCCTCTGCAACCCGCTGGCAGACATCGCGAGCTCTAGTTTGCGCTTATTTTCGCCCGCAGACACTATTGTGCGTGTTGGCGATGGCTTTATTGCGTCTTCTCCGCCCTCTAAAAATATAAAACGTCTGTTGGCATTATCATAATCACCAATATTATAAACGACAATTTTATGATAACTAAATTAAGCAACTCTATTCTAAGCTATCGCAAGATTGCCATATTAATTAAAACGTAGGAGGCTAAATTCAGTTTACATAAAGTACGATTGACATAACAGTAAATTAAGTTTACGAATGTTATCGTCCAACTTATTTTAAAGTGCATTCAGTAATGTTAATATTCTTTTTATAGGATAGGGTGACAAAAGAGCGCACAGTCCACCTGATGGTAAGTGGTTGCTGCGGCCCATAGACATCTACATCCATCCTCGATTACGAATCAAAATGCAGATGCATTGTCACTCGTGAGGACTAAGATGGAATGCCTCGTTTCCAGTAAAAAGGGTCTCCGGTTCTCTACACTCACCATATGAAATACAGCAGCATTAAGCTACTATTGGACGCCGGTATTCTGTGAGAGCGTGGTCCTTCCCCGGTCGTGCCGACCCATTCGTGCTACAACTATACTACTAATATAACTGCAGCATTGCTCTACGTTAAATAGGATTTTGAAGTTTGGCCGAAGTGGATTAAAAGAAATAATATCGTCAAAGACTTCTATATATACAACTAGACTAGCAATACATAATAACTGTGTCACAGCTCTGGATCGCGTGGTTCAGGAGCAGACTCGGGAACTGGCACAGTAGCTATGCCACGCAGTCATATATTCATTTACGACAGTTGCTATTTCAGGCAAATAAAAATTAAATTACAATTTCATCAGAAATAAACTACAAATCACGTTGACAAAGCACACACAAAAATAATGATATTAATTTCCTAATCACTGTAGAGAAAATCAGTGTTAGATTGTCGAAAACAACGTTAGCGATTTACAAAAATAAAAAAAAAAAAACTAAAGCGGTCTAGGTGCGACCCCAAAAGGTCAACACATCTAACCTCCCAGTGGAAAGAATAAAAATATATCATATGTTTTAATATTTTATATAATTTCTCATCTGGCACAAAAAACGAATTGACCGATTTTGCTTAAAATTTAATGAGGTCTAAGTTACATAATTATGCGTTAAATGAAACTGGTCCCATGTCAATATAACTCTTTGTTCTCGAGATATACGTTGCCAAAATTAAATCCGAACATACATACATACATATGTACACGTGCACACACGGACATCCTCTTAAAAACCATACTATTCGACTCTAAAGACCTTGAAACGTGGATATTTGAAAATTTCCAGTTTGCAAAATCGGACCCATTACAATAACTTCCCAATGGGAAGTTAATTACTGGTCTTCTCGCCCGATCCGACAGAAGGAGTAAGGTGTTACGAAGAATCGACCGTAACTTAGTGCGCAATGTATTAAGATTGCAGAACCCGTCTCGGTTATATATTGTAGCATATAAAGAAAGTCTTTGAATCACGTGCACAAAGATGGAATGTATGCACAATAGAAAGAAAGAAAGATTTATTGCAGCACGCCACAAACATCAGTAGGCACTTAAATTTTAACATTTGTGGACACATCAATTATAAACATTATAAAAAAAATACAATAGCTGTCCGGTTAAATAAGGGAAGTTTAAATTGCCAGTAGAATTAGTTTATTATTGTGAATACAAAATATTCATAAAAATTACAAGCTGTTAGTTTTCTAATTCGTGTTTTCTTACCAGCGACAAGCTCAAGAATTCTCTTCTCTGCAGAGTTGCTTGGCTCGACAGGCACAGACGTTGAGGTTGTTAGGTCTGTGCAACTTTCTTCTGGCCCCAGTTCATTCTGTAAATAAAATAAAATTTCAACGTTCACTTATTTTTTAAATTATTAAACCAGAATATATTGTATGTAACTACCGTAGGCCACATCGAGGAAATCTATAGAAAGTGACATATAGAGAAGAGTAGTGCATAGTCAATCATCTTTAATTCAGGTTTTCTATAAAATGTGGGCAAGGCAATATAGATTGAGACGAAAAAAATTTTTCTTTGATGATCTGAGTTCACTAAGATCTTCTTAGTGAATACTACAGTGAATTTGAAAAAAGAAAACATACAAAACGATATGAATTCACGAGGATTAGCAAGAATTCTCGAGCATTCTCACTACTTTGCTTGCCTCAAGACACAATTGCTTCTGTTCCTTCTCTTCCATGGTCGCAACTGTAGCCTCACCATCTAATTTTCTGAATACTGATCGTTATCAGTCTGACTATTTTAGGTATGGTCATTTAAGAATACAAAGTCTTTGTTGTCCTAAAATAAGTTATATATATAGTTATATAAATAAGTGTAAGACAATAGATAGATGCAACACAGTCAGGACGGCGTTGTATGAGGCACGCCTCGTTATGCAATCCTTAGGGACGCATCGAAGCGCTAGTGTGCGTTTTATTTGGGCCGCTAGTTTTGTGAATTTGATTATGCATTAGCAACGCCCCGCCCCACCTTGACTTTGCGGTGGGCACCTCGCCTGAGGTAATATTTCACCTAAATCGTGCAAAACAGATCCAGGAGTAACAAAAGTCGAGCCGCACCGGCGTCTTCGCGGCCAGTGCCTCGCTAGCCGCAGCGGGCCGCACTCACCTCAGCCGCCACCACGACGGAGTTGCCGCGCGGGCGCGGCGGGCGCCAGCGACAGCAGCAGATCGAGCCGCACCGGCGTCTCCGCGGCCAGCGCCTCGCCAGCCGCAGCGTGCCACAGCGGGCCGCACTCACCTCAGCCGGCACCATGACGGAGTTGCCGTGCGCGGGCGCGGCGGGCGCCAGCGACAGCAGCAGGTCGAGCCGCACCGGCGTCTCCGCGGCTAGCGCCTCGCCAGCCGCAGTTTGCTGCAGCGGGCCGCACTCACCTCAGCCGGCACCACGACGGAGTTGCCGTGCGCGGGCGCGGCGGGCGCCAGCGACAGCAGCAGATCGAGCCGCACCGGCGTCTCCGCGGCTAGCACCTCACCAGCCGCAGTTTGCTGCAGCGGGCCGCACTCACCTCAGCCGGCACCACGACGGAGTTGCCGTGCGCGGGCGCGGCGGGCGCCAGCGACAGCAGCAGATCGAGCCGCACCGGCGTCTCCGCGGCCAGCGCCTTGCCAGCCGCAGTTTGCTGCAGCGGGCCGCACTCACCTCAGCCGGCACCACGACGGAGGTGCCGTGCGCGGGCGCGGCGGGCGCCAGCGACAGCAGCAGATCGAGCCGCACCGGCGTCTCCGCGGCCAGCGCCTGGCCAGCCGCAGTTTGTTGCAGCGGGCCGCACTCACCTCAGCCGGCACCACGACGGAGTTGCCGTGCGCGGGCGCGGCGGGCGCCAGCGACAGCAGCAGATCGAGACGCACCGGCGTCTCCGCGGCCAGCTCCTCCCCAGCCGCAGCTTGCTGCAGCAGGCCCCACTCACCTCAGCCGGCACCACGACGGAGTTGCCGTGCGCGGGCGCGGCGGGCGCCAGCGACAGCAGCAGATCGAGCCGCACCGGCGTCTCCGCGGCCAGCGCCTCGCCAGCCGCAGTTTGTTGCAGCGGGCCGCACTCACCTCAGCCGGCACCACGACGGAGTTGCCGTGAGCGGGCGCGGCGGGCGCCAGCGACAGCAGCAGGTCGAGCCGCACCGGCGTCTCCGCAGCCAGCGCCTCCGCCACCTCCAGGCACGATGTCGAGCATCCCGCGTTCACCCAACTGCAAAACACACACCATATAATGTTAAGAGTGCAATGCGTGCTTAATTAATATAGGGCAAATATTCTATTCGAATTTTTAAATGCAAAAATACATGCGTAAGCTTCGTGTTTTTTTTTTCTAACTGAAATATTTTACAATCGTATACATCGAAAACATACAAAACGATATGAATTCACGAGGATTAGCAAGAATTCTCGAGCATTCTCACTACTTCGCTTGCCTCAAGACACAATTGCTTCTGTTCCTTCTCTTCCATGGTCGCAACTGTAGCCTCACCATCTAATTTTCTGAATACTGATCGTTATCAGTCTGACTATTTTAGGTATGGTCATTTAAGAATACAAAGTCTTTGTTGTCTAAGAAGACAATAGATAAATGCAACATAGTCAGGACGACGTTGTATGAGGCATGCTTCGTTATGCAATCCTTAGGGACGTATACATATTTTATAAATATTTTACAATTGTATAAACATGTTGGAGACAAATTTTAATATTTTTAATTTAATATCAATTGAGTAAGAAAACCGTAGCCTGGGATGGCACGATATTAGCCTCTCCCAAGATCAGTATTGAACTGTCGCGGGCCGATAAAGGTGAAACAAAATATATTAAAATAATATTAACTGTAAAAGGCTGTGCACATGTGTCTGTTGTAATATCAAACCAACAAAGAAGGATAGCCACGACACTATTAACATTACAAGCATAGAATAGTATAATACACAATAGAATGGCTGTCAACCTTATTTTGTACGAGGCTCGGTATCGCCGGGAGCACACATATAAGCAATTACGTCGTATTATCACTACTACAAACCCTATTCCCTGTGTTGATAAACTGAGTAAATTTAAACATTTTAGACTTTTGATTTATGTTCAAGATCATCATTAAAAAAAATCGTTTAAGTTTTAATATATATTTATTTGTAAATAGTGTCCAATTTGGTATTTTCTAAATCATCTAAAATCACGCAAATTATGCGAAATTTGGAAACGATTGTAACGACAAAACACATCTCGTGTTGACATTTATACGTGTGGGTTGACATGTTAGTGACATTTTAGTGGCTTCACTAGCTCCGCCCACTCCCCCGTTCTATTATAAGTATATGTATTATAGTATTCTATGATTACAAGTGACGCCAAAACCAACCTCAATTCAAAACAAATTATTGTAAGAACACGCATTATATAATATATGCAATGGACTAATGCAATACAGGATTGTTTTTCGTCATTGCATATGCGAATGCATATGCAATATAGCATTGTTTTTCGTCTTTACTTGATATGTAACTAGTGTTCAGTCTACCTTTCTTTGATGATCTGAGATTACAGTTGTTATTACTTTGGGGATGTATTTTGTTACCTGTATATGAATTAAAAACTTTATTTTAAATATCATGGCACTACAAAACAACAGTAATTAGCAACCATTTTCATAAGAAAAAAAAAACACGAAGCTTTCGCATGCACTGCTTTGTGACAATGAACGTTGATGTGAACATAGATGCCATAGCATTAAATGTAAATGTCATATTATATTACTCACGTATGATCACAAATGTAGGCGATGTCCGCGCGTTTTAACGGGTCTACTGTGAGCATGTCTCTAATCAATGGCGACGCGGCTGAAAATAAAAAATATCAATTTGATCACGTGACCCTGTGTGGCTAAAACTTAACATAATGACTGGATTCTGAATTGGAGATTATTAATTACATATTTGAATTTAAGTTACTTCTCTATTACAATTTTAGTTGAATACATACTACTACTAGCCAACACAGCTTAGGAAATATTCTGAGACTGATTTTTAAGTAACTTGATCAATTACAGTTTAATTTTAGTGGATAGTAAATGTTTACTTTAGTTATTTATGTATTTCTTTAGATAGAAAGGAGAGATTTGCTATCGTTTAAGAAGTTACGTACTAGATGGATTCTTAGGTTCGTAGTAATCGCCGTTGCTGATCTGTCGGACTAGACGCTTGAAGTTAGAGCCGTCGAACGGCATAGCTCCGTAGACTAGAGTGTACAGCAGCACGCCCAGCGACCAACAGTCCACCTGATGGGAACAAAGTGACTCAAAACTATTTAAAACTATTTCTTTGCATTTGCTCTCTCCGTGTTTTAATGTAATTAACAAACTCAAAATACTGTCTACTTATATTGAATTTGTGAGAGACCTTATCAATACAAAAGAAATTTGAATGATTTAACGCATAGATATGAATAAATATTCTTAGTTGTTTTGGACTAGGTGTTTGTCTATGTGCAATTTAAACATATGAAATGCCATTCAACAAATTATTTTATGGGGTATTTTTTATCGTTTATTCTCTTTATTAATTCATCTAAAATATTTTGCTATGCTAAAAAATTAATAACGACTATACGACTACAAAAAGACTTTATCTTTTTGCCCTTTGAGGGCTATGACGGAACGCCACACAACCTACAGTTATACCGACTGTCAATACCCTTCAGACGAGAACACAGCAGTGCAAAAATATGTAAGAAGGTGGTTCCTACCCAGGCTCAGAAAAGTAGTAGCACGTAACGTGTAATTACCTCAGGCCCGATATATGGCGTCCCTTTAACAATTTCAGGTGATGCGTAGAGCGGCGAGCCACAAAACGTAGAGAGTAATGAAGTCTCTTTAAAAACGTTTGACAGGCCGAAATCTGCAATCTGTAATATGATAAACGTACATGTTAATAATTTATTTTCTTTATTACTTGTTGTTTCTGTATTTTCATTTGTTTAAACTTATATTCATAAGCTATTATTGTAGGTGAACTACGAGTATGTACCCATATAAACTGTTTAATTACAACTAAAGGTAAAGCAAAAACAATAATGTAGAAATCACTATGGGTTATTAATAGATCCCCATAGTTATGAGAACCATGGGAAAGATTTAATTAATAGTTAATAAACTGCAATGATCATGTTGAAATTTTAATTACTTCTTTATGTTTGTTTCCCTAGATTCCAAAGAGTCAGTAATTAAGATTTAAAGAATCATGCCCACTTTCCATACATTGAATAACCTGTCACTTGATTCCTTTAACAGGTCACGTCTACCTTCAACTACTGTTGTATAAAAACAATTATTGTTTATAATAATATAATAACTTATCATCTTTTCATTTAGAGGCCAGGGAAAAATGCTATTAAGTAAATAAAAGTTTGAGGTTATAACAGCTGTCAGATAAGGTCTGTATACTTATTTTCTTTCCACACCATAGTACAAAACCATTAAAAATCGTAACTAATCATAAATTAATTAGTTATAAAAAAAGAAATTGGTTATTTTGAACATTCATAAACCACATGACGAATGAGTAAGTTTTTCGTAGTCCGAAATGGAACGTGTAAAACACATTTTTAATGTATTTTGGCATGGCTTCTGGGCCTTTGAGCCATTGTAAAACACGTTCCGTCTCCAAAAGTCTATTGAGAATGATAAACAAAGTAACATTACTTTTTTCCTGGCTTTATTTGAAATTAAAATTATGCGATACGAAATAAGAAAAAAATATGCAATTTTATAAGATATTTTTCATCACTAGACGCGATGGAAAATTTTCAGGTCAAGACTGGACATGATTCTTTACATAAAGTAATAGATTCTACTCTTCTGATTATTTATAAAATTGTAAGAAAACCTACCTTAGCACTGCCAGTGTCGTCCAGTAAGACATTTTCTAATTTTAAATCTCTATGGCAGATCTTGTGTATGTGACAGTAGTAAACAGCTGTCGCGATCTGTCGGAATAACCTGAAGCAATATGGGAATATCAGACGAATAATCTATTGGGAGGGCAATAAATTTAAAGAATTCGTAAACATAGTAATATATTCAAAATCCTCATAATTTCTATACTATTAAAACCAAAAAGTTATGTTTTTTTATTATAGAATAAGTGTGACAAACGAATACACAGTCCAACTAACGGTAAGTGGATGCTGTGGCCCATAGACATCTACATTTATCCTCGATTAAGAATTAGATGCGTTGTCACTCCTGAGTACTAAGATGGAATGCCTCGTTTCCAGTAAAAAAGAGTCTCCGGATCTCTACACTCACCATACGATACACAGAAGTATTAAGCTGCTATTTTACGCTGGCATTCTATAAGAGCGTGGTGCTTCCCCGGTGGAGCCGACGCAGTCGTGCTACAACCATAACATAGCTGACTCTACCACATATGAAACAGATGTATGCCACATTAATTCAAACACAAAGTCATAAACTTTTTATTTCATTTAGCGTTTAAAACTCTCATTAACGTCAAAATCTACTGGTTCGTAAAACAAGAATTTCCTAGAGGTAACCGGCAAGAAACATTGGTGGTTATTGTGAATTGTGCGAATTTAATTATTGCAATAAACAGTCGCAACACTCTTTGTCAAACCGTCGGGGCTGGACCAGGTCCATTTTCCGTGGTGTTTTTAACTCCCAACGGGACTGTTGATTAGGTAGCTATCATCATTCGAATCCAAAGGTTTGAATCCCAAGTCGGACCAAAAAATGAGATATGAGTAAAGCCGAAGTCTATTTATTTTCGGTCGTAGCCATCAAGTAGATTTATAATGTGACATTTTAAGGGAATATACATGTTTTAAAAGCTTAAAACTCATAGCGGCTTTACCTTCTGGCCTCTTCTTCTTCTAATACTTTCTTTTGACTGAGGTAGTCGTACAATTCTCCTCCAGAACAGTACTCCATTACAAGTATCATCTTCTCGCTATTTTCAAATACTGAAACATAATAATAACTAAATTAAATGTCATTATAATTATTATTTGAGAAGTTAATAAGGTTTAGACTTCATTTCAATAAGCTTTTATTTATCAACACAAAGTGTGCTAACGGCGTCGCACATCGTAACAACTCAAAACCTCGATTTAAAGTCGTGGAAATGTGGGCCGTATTATTCTATCGCTTATACGTTAATTATACTTTGCTTAAATCGAAAGACCACGTCGTCTTTTACTAGGCGATAAAAGGTTAACTACCTTTCTGCCTATGAGTCCGTTTTGGTTGGTATCACACTGTTGCGTATTTTTGTCGATAAAATAGAAGATAGAAGATGCTGATGAGCAGAGATTAGAGAGTTAGACAGCCAGTATAAATGCAGACTGTGAGGCATTCCATCTTAGTCCTCAGAGATATCAACGCATCTGTAGCCTTATATATCTAAAGTTCGTTGTAGATGTTCATGGGCTGCAGAAGCCACTTACCATCAGGTGGACTGTAGTTTTTGGCAATGTGAAAGCGTGCACGTCACAAGTATAATATATTAATAAAGTTACAAGGAAAACTATCACAGCTGAGTAGGCTTAACAAGTTAACAAGTAAACTAACGGTTCGCAAAGCATGTATTTGGGGGATGCGTGGTCTCAGCGGAAAGCCTTGGGTTAACTACCAACCACCGTTCGATGCCCGGCCGTAAAGGCCGTCTCAAGTGAGTCTACAAAGTTGTCTCAACCGAGTATCTCATGTCAAGTGAGGAGTAGCCTACTCCTCAACACCACTGCTGTAGAAACAATGACTCCTCTTTTTTGTAAGTTATAATATAGACATACGAGATGTATCCAGCCTTTATTTAATACTAGACAAAAAAAATCATATGTACTTGACACAAAACGAATAACAAACTTTACGTTTCTTACAAAACTTCGCCTAACTTTGAGCCGAATTGTGTTGAGACGTTACAGGTGACGTCCATAAAGTCGTGGGCACAGTTAGACTTAGACATTAAATAGTTAAACAAAAAGATCCAACTCACAAAAAACTAGTTCTGAGATATTGAAGTTCTTTTGAGTACTCAGTGATATTTGATTTGCTTGTAAATTTGCTTTTTATAGACTGGGACTTTTGACAATAATGTCTTTAATAAGAAAATTTTGGCACTGAAGACTATTAAATAAACAAGGTAAATGAGTTCACGGAATGAGGATATGAATGATAAATCAATAATGAAACTTATTTTTCCTTAACGATATATTCTTATGGATTCAAATACATTTTCAGATCGGTTAATTATTATACTCTTGACTCAACATCATTGTGATTTTCCCCTAAATTATATATTTTTTAAATTTTTGATACAAATAATAATTGTCATGTATAATTTGTAAATTGGATATAAATCAATTGGAGCTTCCAAAATATCAAAGCTCTTTCTTTGTACTGCAGCATTCGTAATATCGCAACAAACAACGCACATGGCGGCAAAGTCAGCACGGTTTTGCACTTCTTGTCGATATTTCGAGAGACGTACAGTTCCGCAGTTACTTTGAAGGGAAGACTAAACTGGCAAAAAGCTTGGTGTGCTCAGATGATCGAGACGGTGTTTCACTGCTTGCAGCTTTACATAGCGCAGGGCGGCCTCATATAGAATAATGTTCTCATCTCTAGACCTGTGCATCCTAGTATCAGCTCCTACATTTGATCGATTCTTTTCAAGCCTATCGGGCCTTAATCCACAGGCCTTGCAAGGAGACGTTGCATCTCTGTGCATCTTCTACCGCATATATCACGGGAAGTGCTGGGGGGAAATGTTCTTTTTTTTTATATTATAAGGGGGCAAACGAGCAGTCGCAGCCATTTTCATGACTACCGACGCCCATAGACATCTGTCTGGATGTTATACAGATGCGTTGCCCTCCTTTCCCCTCCCCACCCCAAGGGCCACCGGATACTTACACACCGCACGAAACGCGACAGCTCAGCTGCCACTTTACGCCGGTATCGTGTAAGCGAGAGGTACTTCCCCGGTCGTGCCGGCCCAATTCGGCTACATGCATGCATGCAGCGTGGCACTACCTCTTTCATAAATAATGTTCGGATAAATTCTAGCTGTTAAATTTCACCATCGTACACTGCGACAGAACTTGAAATTCCAACCTCATCATCGCGATTGCTGGCGGTCCACTACAGTGCAATTCACGCGGAATTTTCTGCCTCGTACACACTGTAGAATAAACTGTCGCCAGCAGATTTTCCGGACCGGTACGCCTTAGGGACCCTCCAAGAAAAGAGCCTAATCCTTTCCAAAAGGCCACAACAAGGTGCAAGGACAACGCACTTGCCCCGATGTTCCAGATTTTTATGGGCGACGGGGATCACTTATCATCATGTGAACCGTATGCTCGTTTACCTGCTCTTCCTTAAAAATATTCTAAGGTCCTAAAACTTCTACTAAATCATATTTTTAGACGTGACTGAAGTTTGTGCACGTACCTTTGTTTAATCAACGATAACTCAAACAGAACAAAAATGTTGTTTTTAAGTTTGGTCTCCTTTAGTCAGCTTCATAATTAGTACAGATATAAATAATACAAAGTTTTTGAAGTTTTTAAACGTCCCAAACTTTATTATTTTTGTAGACAGAGTGCACATACATGTCATTCCATAGGGTGGCCGCTGGTCGTACAATTATAGCTTTTACCGCCGGTATGGAATTTAAGCTTTCATTTTAGCAACATCGCCCGACGGTATAATTATTATTAGAAGACTAAAAGGAGCAAGTGACGACATAATTTAATATGACCGCGTGAAACGATCATGTAATACATGAGTAGTGGATTTGTAACAAGTAGATATTGATGTATAATTAATCATTATTATAATTATTTAAGTCTATCACAAGTCTACTGCTAAACATAGGCATTTCCCAAGGAAAGAATGACTATAAATTATTATGCAATTGTTTTGAAATCTGGTATTCATTCTATTGGCGAGTGTCTTAAATCAGTGCTGGTATAGAAGTGCCCCTTGGACCGCATCATTCCATGAACTTATCGAAACGTAGCACTCTACAACTCATTTATGCACCCTCAATTCACATTCACAATTCGCTATATTTAAATATAAGACGAAGAGTGTTCTAGCTTAATGAAGTAAGTATTTATTTACTATTATTATACCTTCGTAAATATGGACGATGTTGGGATGCCTCACAGAGGACATAATCTGTACCTCGCGGCGGATGCGAATGAGATCGGCTTCCGATTCGATTTTGCATTTTTTGATGGTCTTGATCGCGACCTCTTGTCCAGTCTTCTTGTTTATACCCAGCTGCACCTTGCCGTATGTGCCTTGTCCTAATTTTCTAACTATGTCAAATCTATAACAAAAAGAGAAGAATATTATAAAAAATTTAACATATCTAAATGTAGGGAACATTATATATAATGTTACAGTACCCACGTTGCAGTATGACTATACTGCAACGTACTGCAACGTGGGTAGTCATACTGCAACGTATTATGGTTCTAAAACAACAACGTATATGCATTTTGATTCTTAATTGAGAATAGATGAAGGTGTTTATGAGGTACGGACTCCACTTACCGTCACGTGGACTGTGTGCTCGTTTATCACTTTTATTTCTATATAAAAACGGACAAGTAAATGTGGGACTCGCATTCTGGGGTTATCACGTAAACTTAATACATATAGATAGAGTTCAGCTATTCCAGGATTTGTTGGTAGGGTAAGCACTAAAAATAATTGCTCTATTGAAGACTTCAAATCTTATTGAAGTATAAACTGAATTATTCACGGGAAACAAAATGTTCTTTCATACATCAATTTACATTACGGTCAATGCTCCGATTACAAACGTAAATTTGTTATCATAGAAAATATTTTTATATGATAATAATATTAAGTAATAGTAACTTATAAGACAAAATTAAAATCTTCTAAATTTATCACAAATACAATCTACTTTATTTTATTTTATTATCTTCAAATAGTTAAAATTAGTTGAAATAAGATATAAAAATATGATATTGTGTAGTATTAGTAAGCCTTTTTAGGTTCGATAGTATTTATAGTAAATGCATGAAAACAGTTTTCATGTATTAAAATGCAAAGGATTTTTGCCAAAATATCAACCCCTATGGTAATGCTCGCGGTGATCAATGCTGAGTGCTGACTGAACATATAAAAATCTAGTCGAGATGATATAATAATAAATATAATAACATAATATTATGTTCACAACGTGGAAAGGCAAGTGAAACACGGAAAGCGTAAAGCAATTAAAATATGTCATACTTCATGCACTCATATAATTTTAAAACAAATCGCACTTTGTGATAAAAAGCTGTTGGCATAGTAATTAAACCGGTTATAGTTTACATTTCACAATATAAAAAATGACAAGACAGCAATAACGAAGTTACAAAATAACTTCGCTGCTATGATTACAGCAATAGGTTTTAAGATACTACAGTAAATAAATAAGCGCAGGTTTGCTTGTAACGCCGATTAACGAGCATTTAGCACGCAACTCTCAAACTAACAACAAAGCGGTTGTAATAATTTGATGTCAATGCTACACGCTAAACTGGTAGTGTTAAACTATTTGCTGTCAATGTAAACACTACCGCCCGTATACCGATTGCGTTATGCTTGATATTTTGTTTAGCACCCTGATGCTAAAGGGTGCATACAATTAACTACATTACATATTCACTCATTCATTACCAGCCTGTCAAATTTCCACTGCCGAACATGGGCCTTCCACACAGATATCCGAAATAGAAACATACTTTTCAGTGTTGTCACCACAGAAATCGTAGAGACAATAGAAGTGGCATAGACGCGTGACCTTGTCGCCGCTATGATGTGTTGACAAACATCATTCACCATTTTGTGATTTAGTTGCGCGGGGAAATGGTGAACTGCAGCATAATCAATAGTAAAAACTTATCAAGGACGTGTAATTCAACTAATAAAGACGTAACATTTCTTCGGTAAGATGATTATTTACTCATTATCATTGATTTAACTAATTTACATCCAGATAAATACTTTACTATGATATTTAATTTTGTAAACTTTCATTTCTTATTTTTCGTATTGTACAATTACCATTATTGCTGCTTTTGTTCTACGTACGTACTTGTTTTGTTTTGTACGCACACGACGTTGACAAACTCGCCAAGCAATGTAATGTGAAACATAAGATATCATTGTGCATTGCGTATGTTTATAATATGGCAAGATGTGGCGACATCGGTTTTGGAAGTAATCGAGCGCTAATTCATTTCTATTATCTTATTATTACGATTTCTGTGGTTGTCACGTTTGGCAGGCGGATTAGCGGCCGCAGTTTATTTATTGCATTTGTCATGAAGAAGACGCTTCTGCGCATATCCTGTTTCAGTATTACATAATATACATTGTATATACTATTAAGGTACGACTGCCTGGTTGGTCTTCTTGTGATTGTCTTGGACTTTTGATCATGAGGTGAAACTGGTGTCGGGTCAAAAATTTGCTATTGGATTTTTTCTGTCAAGAAATTCTCAGTAACAGCCCGAAATCAGGAAGTTGGCGGAGTTTCACCCCCGTGCCTCGGAAAGCACGCGAAGCTAATGGTGCTATTGGTCGTGTCGAATTTCTGTCCCCATCATACTATAAAGGTGAGGGATAGAGAGTGCACCTCTGTTTGCGCGCTCATTTGTGTACCATAAATCCCGTCCTGTGCAGGTGGTTAATCTTCGTTGAAAATGGTCGCCGTGACCGAAATTCGGTCTGGAGGACAATAATAATGAATGTATTATAAATAGAGTTGCCACTTTTTTTTGAACAAATATAGTATTTTTCCCAAAAAGGATGCAAAAATATAGTACTTTTGAGAAATTCCGGAGAAAAAATTACACATTTGTTTTTAATCTTTATGTCTGGATGTACTGAATACAAATATGAATGTATTTTTCCATATATATTTGTTATTGCTCTTTACTTTCGCCATCAATGATCTAACCACCTTACCTTCTAACTTACTTTTAAAATAATTTAGAAGGGCTTAAGTAATAATTATATTCAAAAATAACCATTTTTTTCAAGCTTGAATATATAACTCCTAAATCAACATATAAATATAATTCAAATAACAGTATAACATTTTTGCCTTACTGGGATATAACATGTAAATAATAACTGTTACGGTCCATTGATATTGTCCCGTTTAGCACCACAACACAGATTATACATGCTCTTTTTCTTTCTTCTTTCAATGTTACATTCATGATGGATAAAATCCTTTCCGTAAAACATACTTGTTTCAGACTTCCAATCACAGTTAATATAACAAAGCGACAGTTGAATTAGGGATAAAAATATAGTATTTTTCGTACTATATTATTTTTCTATAATATATAGTACAAATGACTGAAATATAGTAAGATACTATATAATATATATTAAAGTACGGGTGGCAACCCTAATTATAAAGTACATTCTTAGAAAACTGACCGTGCAGCTTTAGTGGAGAGGATATCTAATGTCTGAGTCGTGCCTCGTGAGCTATTTTTGTATCTAACACTGCACTTGATCCTTTCTCACATCTAATCGCTTAAGTTATATCGAAAACGAAAGTTGTGGACAAGTGAGTGGCGTTATAATGTAGAGCAGAGTAAAATGCTTTCGATGATCAACATTCTTTCAAATTTTTAACGATATAATATGTATATGAGTGATCTTAGGTCGGATGCAGGATCGAAAACCTGAAGTGACACTAGATTTTATATCATAGCTCCAAAACAATTTGGAGAAAGTTTTTTTTTTTAGTAAAAATACAGCTTTCTAACGTCAACGCAGTTTATGATCTAGCCTGTACATTCAGTTAGGATATTACTGATGAGATGTTATGATGTTGATCGTACGATTGAAATTAATGATTGATAAGTTTACTTTGTACTAGAACCAATAATTATACTAGGCAATAATGAAAAGACAGTGATGTTTTTTCACGTTCAAGTCTAAATTTAATAACAAAATTAAGTAATGGCGAGCTTAACGAGAAATTTTAACAGATATTCTTTAGATTCATTTTCAGTGATATTAACTTAATTGATATAATAAAATGAGTAGCCTACTCAACAACATTCCCCTATATTCTATACTCGCCAACATCTATATGTACAAATAAATAAAATTGAAGTGTCAGTTTGTAATGTCAAAATAACAGCTTTTTACTAAATATATATGAAAGTATATATATGCACTTATAACCAAAAGACATTTTTTATAATTTTGATCGGTCTGCCTGACTATTTGTTCCCGATAGTCTCCGGAATGGCTACATCGATTTTAACGGGACTTTCACTGGCACAGAAAAAAAATTAAAACCCATGAAATTCAATCGTAATAAATTTCACGCGGACGAAGGCGCGGGGAACAGCTATAATGAAATTTAATATCGGTAATCCGTTTCTTTTAATATTAACAAGAAATAAATTGATGATAATGCTGGCAACATGGTTGCTTTGTACTTGTAAGAACGGCGTAAGAGGACCCCCTACCCCATAACATCCTGTGGTGGTCACATGAGGCGATAGAGGTAATGAAACAAAATAATAAAAAATTGTGGTTGCCAAACCGCTCACCACCAAACGTAGCAGCTATATCAAATATTCCCACTATGATACGAGGGTGACAATGAAAGTTCTTAGAACTGGCCACTTGTAAACGATATAATAAAAATAAGTTTAAATATTGAAAATGGAACTCTTTGCCAATATTATTGTGTATGTATTTTATTAATTTGTCATTTTGTTTACAATTTGGCGGCAAATTGAAAATTGTCTGTATCACGTCAACATTAATTTAACGCGAGAAAATTTTCGTAAAATAATGCCTTTTGATGTCGTTTAAGTCAACAAGAAAGTTATGCTAGATTTCGATTGCCTTTCACGATGAAGCCCCATCTCGTGCCACTGTTTACAACTGGTTTAATGAGTTTAAGCGTTGTCGCCCTAATCTCAGCGATGATCTGCGTGAGGGACGACCTTCTACAGCGATGACTGAAGATAACATCAGTGTTGTGCTGCATATCATCAGTGTAGAGTCTGACGAAAGAGTGACTTACCAGCAGATTCTAACAAGCTTAGGCATCGGTGTGAGTCAAGTGCACAAAATCCTCCATGAACTTTTAGCGGTTACGAAGCTTTGCGGTGGATACCTCATAATTTGACAGAGGCCGAAAAACTCCGTCGTGTTGATTGGTGTCGTGAAATGGTTCAAATATTTAACGGAGGTGACTCAAATGCTGTGTTCGACTTACTTACGGGTGACTAAAGCTGGATTTATTGTTATGATCCTGAAACT